TTCATGTGAAGTAACAATTGAAAAAAGTGTACGATTTGGGATATTTTGATGCTCTAGCTGTAATAGTCCTAAAACACTCAAGTGTTGTGCAGCACATAATAGCACAGAACTATAGTTTATCAGGAGTTAGGTGTAAACTACTATCTCCTCTAAGTCAAATCCCTTGCCCTAATTTTGTTCTCTACTCACTGTGAATTCAAGGTTGGTCTTTTAAATTAAATTATTCAAAGATAATTTAAAATGAAAAATATTACTAAGAGGAAGGGTTTCAGAAACAGTGCCACAAACTACTGTCCCATACTCCCTTGGATCTACAGAATTCAGGTACTTTGATCTACTGCTTCCAAGGATCCCACCTGATATTGACCATCAGAAAGTCCCTTTTCCATACAGGCCCTTGTATGACCTTGTATGTCTCTACTCAGCTGCTTCCATAAAAATACACCCTTAACTTCTGGATGTCCCAAAGGAACCACGAGGATACTCCAGTAACATGGTTTTAAGTTTGCCAGCTCCATAGAAATAGAACTATCTCAAATTTGCCAGTTGTGGGAAAAGAACCCTAAATTCAAGACAAGGTAAGGTAAAAAGCAAATAAAATTCATTTTCACAAAATCCAGGACAGTACACTTTTCAGGAGTTCTAAAGATACAGGTGGGGAAAAAAAGGACAGAAAACCACAAGTCATCTACATCTTCCAAGATCAAATCCAGGAGACCCCCTTAATCCTCACTATACCCCGCTGACAGCTGCCAATTTCTCTAACACTGGGTGAAGGAGATTCAGCTTTGTCCACTGCATGAGATCTACACTGCATCCACGGGGAGAGCATTTCAGCCAGGGAAGCATGGCATCTTTAATTCCCCTTTGTTTGACGCAACAGCATGATATTTAAGCTGTCTGTTCAAGTCTGACTTCAAAGTCTGTCCAAATAAACTTTTTATGCTGCTGTATTGAGTGAGGCCACAAATATTCTATCCCCAGACACATAAAACATTTCCCAATAAAGTCCAAGTACTACATCCTTGTTGTCCAACTTAAAACTGGTGCCTTTGACATAGCTAAGGGCTGACTCCAAAGGCATCAATATTGTGGCTCCTTAAAAACTGTGTATGTGCAAAAGTTGTACATGGATTATAAGATACTGGAACCATCCCACACACACTCAGTTTTACCATCTCTTCTTATGATTGGCATTTGTTTGATGCCCATAAATGACTGAAAACATGCAAAATGATGTCACTAGATAGTCAAGAGGTGATAAGAATCTCTTGGGGGGAAAAAGGTTCTTTGCATGCCAGTGTCAGATATCACAGAAAAATAATGCAGAGTATACCTTAATCTCAAAGTCCTGGAAAAAGTAGTTACAATACAAAGAAGATTGCTAAATTTCATTTCCTTGAAGAAACCCAATAATGTCTTTGTGTATTATATATACACTGTACTGTATACTCAGCAAAATAAAAAGCAAAGTTAGGAAAAATGCTTTTTTCTATGTAGTAGAAAAGTTTTAAACAACTGAGTGCTGAACTTCATACCGAGAGCACTGACATTAAGGTTTTGGCTGGTAAACTGCTTGATGAGCAGCATCTCAGCAGGTAAGAATCATTTCTGCCTGTTTGCAGAAAGGACTGCAGCTGCAGGATCAGAAAGGGAAGACTGTCCTAATACTTAATGGCTTTACTGATACTAGTATGTTTAACCACAGGCAGCTGAAGCAGGCAGTGGAAACCATGCCATTAAGTTAAATCCTCTCCTCCTAATCACACATGGGATAATCTGGTGCTTTCCCCCTTTCTTCTTAGGTTAAAAGATGCTCTTCTAAAAAAAACCTGCCAGTACACTGCACCAAAAATAGATGAGAAGCATTCAGAACAGTAGCTTACTCTGACCTTCAAATCCTCTTGTTTTAATCTTTCTGTAACATCAATCACTGTACATATCAGCATGCTGCCATTTGCAAAACACTCAGGAACTCCTGAAAAAAATTGTCCAATGATACCAGGCAACAGGACATGTTCCGATATAACCTTTTACATTCACCATCTTTACAACATTCTTGATCTGCAATAGCTAACAAGGAAATTCCAGAAGTATAGCATCTAAACCCAACATAACTATGAATGTTTACAACAGCAGTCTACTCCTAGGTGTTACCTACAAGGTAACCCTACTATCTTAGAAGTGGACCGTCAACTATGATAGAATTATTCGTGGAAGGAATTTATTTGCAGGGCCCTTCCTTCACATACATATTACATCAAGATAGATGTGGCATACACAGTGCATACACCGTGTTATCAGCATATTGCTATTTCTTACCTGAAGTTTGCACATACATCCACACTGATGTGGACTTTCAGACAGCAAAATCCAACCCCTGAATGCAACTTATAAATAACGCCTCCAATTGAGGTAAGCGGTCAATCAAAGCCAATTCTTATAAACTGTCAGAGCTGACATATTCCAAATGAAAATACAGTTGTATCGATGAACCAATGCAGACACAATGTTAGTGACTCTTCCCTTTTACTATTTATCACTGAAAGAATACTCACTGGAGCATCTTTGTAGACACAAAGGTCTAAAAAGAAAAAGTATGCCTCAGTAAAAACCAAAAAGCCTCAAAGACAGCTAGGTTTTTTTCCTCCTAAAAGAGAGCCTAAATTGGGAGATAAGTTTTCTAACTAATGCAGTGAATTTTTATAAAATGCAGATATAACACTCCTAGGGAAAAGGGAGATGGAGTTTCAAGTTATAGGCTTTCACATAATTTTAGTTACAGCAGATTTCCTTCTTAAAGGAAAGTAAACACCTATCATGTACCTATTATATAATAAAGGGACACCTAAAGACAATCTTACTTGGCTCTATTTTCATCAGAATAATTTAAAAACAAATACTGTTAACCATTCAATTAAGGACTTGTTAGTAAATTGACCTTCCATATTTTCTCAAGGATTGACAGTTTAAGGAAAGGAAAATGAAGGTTGGATGAACGAGCATAATGCCCGAGAGCTCACGACAAGAGCTGGAAGAAGGCAAGGAAGGAGAGGTGGTTGACAACATTTGAATCATCATCCTGCATCTTCTGGATAAAGCTGCAGAAATATCCTTCTGCTTCAAATTAGGATACTAGACCTGCTCTTCCAGCAACAGTGACTTGGAGGACAGCTGCTGATCCAGCTTACTACTCCATGTATCTTTGGCCTTGACATCTAGGCAGACTGCCATAGAATCAAGACACTGCCTTTTTAAAAATTAGTTTGTCAACTTCTAAGCAAAACTTACATGGCCTTCCATGCCTTCCTGAGGACTCCAGTCTTTCCAGCTGTTTCTTCCAGCTTTTAGCCGTATCACCTCATCTGGCCACTGCAGCTCTTTCCTTTTTGACACGTTGATCCCTTCCAGTACTTGACTGGGATCCATTAACTATAAGTAGGAATTGAGTTTTGACTGTTAGTTCAGCCAAAATTTAAAAGAAACAGATAAGCCGTAACCTTTTGCATACTTCCCGAGAACTGACTTTAACCCATAGAAATTGATTTCTGGCCAATTTCAATGTTGGAAACTCAAGCTCCAGGCTAGGAAAAAGCCTGAGCAGCACAGAATTTGGAAATTAGGCTGTGGTTTCAGACACAGCTGACAATATACCAGTTCACTGCTGTCTGAAACAGCAACTCTGGTTCCCTTTCCCACCCCTTCTTTCAGTTACACTAGCTCATGGCAGGGTCTGAGGAGCTAGCAGAATATAAGCATTGGCAGCATACAGTCCAGTAGAAGGGAAGAGTTAAATGATGATGAGCTGTTAGAACTGGCTCATCACTTCTTACAGAATAGCTCAAGAAACATGGTCTTGGAGAATTTACTGTTAGGCTGAAGAACTATTTATCTACTAGCATGGTTAGTTGAGACCCACCCCATGTTTTGAAGTAAACTGGCCTTTCCACAGGGGCAGCAGGAGAAAACTCCTGAAAACTTCTTCCTATTTAAGGACAGAGAGAACCGCATAACGTCCACTATCCGAGGGCACATGTCAACTTTGCCTGTATCCTCCTCACACAGAGGAATTAAGCAGTTTTATAAAAGGGCCCTTGCCAGCAAACAAAAGCTACTAAGCACAGACCTGCAAAATTAATTTTTTAACTTTACCCACTATGATGCAGTTTAAGTATTACTCTAAAATGAGGTGATACCAGCAAAGAAATCACATTTGTTATGACCTATCCTATTAAATACACTTCTGGATGTTTCCCACTAATATACTACCAAAGACATGTGTGGAGCTAATACAAGCTAGAAGAGCAAGAATACAAGTTTTGGGATTTTCACAAAATGAGTAAGGCTGCCATGATTAACTTAGTCAATGGTGTACTGTTTGCTGCTCAGTAAACCCAGACTTGTGGCAATAACCAAAGAATAAATACATATGAAAGTGAAAGTGAGTATTTTTACACTTACTTTTGCGGAAAATCTATGTGGTTTAAGAGAAAAAAGCTAGTTGCTTTCTGCCCTGCAAATGAAGCTGTTTAGCTTTACATGTTGTAATGAATAAAGGCAAAATAAGTATGAAGTGGAACTGAGTTCAGCTGACATTCTCAAAGCTGCACTACAGCAAAATATATAAGTAATGTAAACAGGGATGTCTAAGCACACAGGAAGGCTGGTTGTCCAGAAAACCTTTTCCTCACATTAGTTCCCCAAATGTAACTGCACAATAGTTGTATACTGAGACATTCCAGACTCTGCGTGTATTTAAAAGTAGTGATTTCAACAACGTACAAGGTAACGCTAACAAAAGCACGTGGAAGCATAGGTTAACTTGTTCTTCTGGAGTATTTACCTGGATTCTGTAAATAACGTCATCCTTTTTGGCTTGCATTTGATTTGCAGGGCTTGCATTACCACCTGACTGAGTTTCAGTTGCATTACTCCCTCCTTCTGTCCCTAGAAAGCCCGCGAGGGCATGCTGTTTACAGGCTGGGATGCTTTGGCTGGAGCTGCTAGAAGAGGGCAGTCCATGCTGCGCGCTGACCCCAGTCTGGCCAGTAGATTCCATTTGGTTCACCATAGATAGGCGGGACTGGATGGATGATGGGAGGTTACGAAGGGATATCTGACTGGTGGAAGAGCGCCGACAAGGCACAAAGCCTGTTGTGGATGTGCGAAGAGATGAATGACGACTGCCGTAGCAATAAGATGAATGGCTAGCTACTGAGGCACGGGCAGGGGAATGTCTGACAAGGCTTGACTGCACAGAGTGAGAGCTGTGACTGGTGCCTAAAAGTAAAAGATACAGAATCAGGAGAGTTTGATAAAGTCTCCCACACACGTTAGATTTCCGACACACACATGTTTTAGCGCTTAGATACAAAACTGACGGGTCTAATCAACAACTTCTGAAACAGCTGTATCGCAGAAGATCTCTGTTGCATTTCATATAGCAGAGCATTTGAATACATTCCATTCATCTTATCTTGGAATTTCACACTCTGTTCAACTCACAATCCCTGCAAGACAAGTAGCTTGAAAAATGCTTCAGCCTTGCTCTTCCCGCATTAACAATTTATTTCTTAATGTTAACATTTAAGTTTCCCATACTTAAGGCATTAAGGTAGGTAGAGACGTCCATGTTTCAAAATACTAAACATTCTTTCTTAATATGCTTGACTGGGTGTTCGAAGACTGAGTCAGAAAATTTGTTAGAGCAAAAGCTGTTTTTAAACACATTCAGAAAAATTTAATGCACTTAAGGTGAAGAACAGGAATTGCAGTTTACGAGCATTAGTGCCATTGCTTTTCCTATAGTAAGTACTCGTAGATACCTCTCCACAGCTGATAGACCTACTTAAGTTGTGCAAGAAAAGAAAAGTTCATTCAACTACATACACTTTTATATTCTTTGTGAGTAAAGGCAGTGTTTGGGAAGCTTTTTCTCAGCTTTACTGTTTATCACCTCCCTAACTACAGATCACCGCAGACTCTTGGATAGTATTCAGCTAAAATACTATGGAAATAGAGAATCCATTCCACTGTATAAATAAGAAATATAAATACATTCACAAAAAATGACAAGTTTAGCATTTGCAGACAACATGACAGAAAAGATCCAATCCATAGAGATGTGTTATAAAAAGTTATTTAATCTATTCTGCCAGCAAAACTATACCCCTACTGCTCAAATCTGTTTGGGAACCTTGCATTGCATAAAATAGCACCATAGTTTGCGATGAATCCAGCAGGTGTTAATACTACATAATCAAGTCACTTTTGTTTATTTTTTAGTTTAACTTAGGCCTGATCCAAAGAGCTGAAAAGCCAGTTCTGGCTATAGGATTGTACTTGTATAAAATTGTTGCTTTGTTTTATTTTAATTTTACCCAAAGTGGAGGGATGAGTTGGTGGATGAGCTGCAGGAAGAGTTGTGGGATGAGCTGCAACAGGAGGGTGCTGTACTGCTCCAGGTCCCTGCCCTGTAGTTACATTCCCTCCTCCTTGTGACATGCTGCTCTGCGACTCGTTGATAGTTGCATTGTTACTTGTGCAAGAAGCTCCACCTCCAGCATCTGAATCTTCAATATTTCCACCGCTATTGCAGCCAGCTCCACAACCTTTCCTTAGTCTGAAAACATAATGCAGTTTGACACATTAAGTCAGGCCTCCTAAATCATCAGGATTCTAAGAAATGCCTTATGACGACAAGCAAAAGGCTTTACTCAGCACAATCCACAGCATTCCCTAAAATCAGATAAAACTTGACTTTATTTTCTCAGAACATGCTTTGCAAGTATAAATACTGCTTTCTAAGAGACTGCAATTTTCCTTATGACAGCTATTCAAGTAACAGTTATTTATGATAAGTCAAGCGCTCATATAAAACAGCTTTTGAAAAAAAATCAAGCCACCTCTGAAGTACAATAAAGCGATCAAATTCTAAATATAAAATGCTGGTAGAACATCCTGATTATTTTGTAACAGTTTAGTAAAATTTATGCTCCTTAACACACCAGTCGTGTATTCTTATATTGCAAAATCTTTGCCTAATTAAATGAGCAGGAAAAGAATATTTGTTGGGTTTTGCGGTTTTTTTCTTTTTAATGTATTTGGTTTCTTGTTACCTTCAATAATGTACTCTCAGTTGTTTGAAGCCCATATTGCAATTATTTGAATCACAAATTCTCAAGTGAATTTTGAACATTCAGACAGTAGGCTAGCCAACATTTTCCAGTGTACATACAGACTTTTCACCACATTGTTTGCATTAATAAACTCAGATGGACACAAAAAACACAGCACATTCCTCCTCCTCCCTTCAATTCCTATTTTTATTATTCTTTCCTTTCTGTTGCACCCAAATACACTGAGCACTCTTTTCGAATCTTATTTGCCCCTGGGATCCAGAATCCCAAAGCACGCACAGCTTGGATCCAAATACTGTTCTGTGTCATACTTTCACCCGTTATTCTATCCACATGTTGGACAAGCAGATGGTGACAGAAGACAAACACCACAGACTGTAGTAAGTGTGGCATATTCCGGGGTGAAGCAGCACGTTCTGTTTTGATGTGCTGTAGATGTTTAAGCGTAAATATGACCATCAGAACAGCTACAGGACTGTTCCAACTATGGCACCAGCTCCCGGAACTGGTAAGAACTTGGACGCACATTTCTGAATGCCACACACAGCTGCCACTGTTGCTTTTGAAGCCACAGTCATAGGGGGCCATAGAAGTGCAGTAAAAGTTCTCATGGCCTATAAAACACAGCACAGCAAGAGTTTGTACCGGGTTACCGAGCAGACATGTGGAAGGAGGATTATATTATCACTCCAGTTACTTGTTCTGGCTCTGACATACAGTGTATTTATAAGCACTCATGAAATTCTGAACAACAGCTAAAGCTTGAGTTACTATGTATGAGCATACCTTAACAACATTAATAGTGGCACTTGCATGCAAAGTATTTGCCAGACAGGAACCCTACCAAATAAGTCCTGATTCTGTAAGAGTGGTATTATAAACTGCAAAATGACGATACCGAAAAAAATACAGAAGTTGCATTGTCTCTCATTATCAGACCTGACATCAGAACTGAAGTTGTAGTTCTTGCGTTTGGACTTTCTGTCCTGTTATTTCTGAGCTGTCATTTACATAGTTTGTGGTGTATTACTTATATGCCTTGAAGATTAACCCTGTACCAGAGCAGTTGCCATATGGTACAGATTTATTTTTGTGCAACTGAATGTTGTAAATTATGCCATGTTGGACATATATGAAACTAGTTAATGGAATATGAGAGCATGAACACATACTAATGAGAACTCATTTCCTCAGCTCACCTGTGCCATGTAGACACTATGAAGTTTCTGATGTTTCCTAAGCTGATAGCTCCCCCGAGAATCTCTTTAAGCTGTTCATGACTATCTGAATAGGAAGTAGTCAAAGGTGAGACGTAGATTGGGTATCCAATTGGCTGGTCACAAGAGGAGTTGATCATGTTCCTCAGAGCTTGTTTTGCATTTTGGATACTTCCTCTTTCTGGATTACGATTACGCAGGAAGACAAGCTCCTGTTGTTGTCCTGCCCACAGGCCACGCACGCACTCCTTATTCACCTGCAAAAGATGACAGACATAAGCCAAGTAGAAAGGCTGTGTCAGAAAGTGAAACAGCGTGTGAAGACTGCCTTGCTATACCTAGGCCTTCACGAGTGTATGTAATAATGCACTGCAGAACTGCAAGCATTCATATTCACTTCTTTAAAAGGCTGAACTTATGGACACAGGCTGCAACAGTGAGAATAAAGCAAATCTAAGAATGGGATGAGAAATAAGATATTGTAAGTCAGTAACTGATTTTTTGATTAAATACTTCCACTATATGAGAAGCAGCAGCCCTAGCAATGACAGATCAGTAACAAAAAAAGTAATGATTTGACTTGAAGTAGCAGTTTGGTATAGTTACTAAAATATACCACAACATACTGTCACAACGTGGAATGGGCACAAAGCTTACCTTAATGACCCTGAAACTGAGATAGCGCTTATTCAGCATAATGATTTTATATTCATTGGTGCCATCATCCATCACATGACGCAGAGCAAGGAGGGAGGGAGAGTTGGAAAGAACTGCACTCCGCCAAGCAGGGTCCCCTTCATGTGCTATAACTAGATTTTCTTCATGGGTTGTTATGGCTTCATAAAGGACAGAAGGATCATCATATTCATCTGGAGAAGTGAAGTGATCCTGTTTCCAAGAACACGTGTTCAGTAAGATATGATTAACATTTCAGATGTAACTACGTATAAAAATCAAACATTTCACACGTCAAACTCTTGAAAGGCTCAGTGCATTGCACAAAGTTAGACATCAAAAAATATCAGATACCTACTAAAGAACATTGTTAAAGATAATCTCTTTCCCAACAGATTAGTTCTGTTTGCTTCCTTTTTTAACTTAAAACCAAAATGATTGGAAGGACCTGCCCGTTACTGATTCAAGTAAATTTCTAGTTGAATTTTACACTAGATTTATATCTATTTATATTGCCTGCAGAAGCATTTTAGCTTCTCTGCTTATTCACAAGTCTCCAACTGTAAAATACACTTAATTAAAGCACTGATTATTCACTGAGACTGTATTATATGAAAATAGCAATAGGAAGAAAAACAATAAGGTTTATCTGTATTTTCTGTTAAAAAGTTCACATCAATACCTGATGACAGACTATACTATCACACAACTTACATTACTGCCAGTCAAATAAAACCACAAAATTCGCAAGTTCAATTCAGTATTAGGTCACATTACTTTCTGGTTAAAAAGGTTAGTGGTTTATAGCTAAATTCCCAACACTGGCTGAAGCTTCAATATGCTATTGCACTGCAAGTGAATAAAATCACCCTTTATAGATTAATACAATAACTTTCAGAAAAAACTTCCTTCTATTGTTAGAGATATTTGTATTTTTCTCACTTTTCATTCTCTGACTTAATTCAAGCCCATTCTGCACAGTAACCCAAATATTCTGAGAACACTTCAAAATTGTTGAAGTGGTACTTCTGCTGGTTTCAACAATGGTTTTGTAATTATTCTACTTCGCTACATGTACTCCTAACGCTTATACACATTCTGCTAAATTCAGGGAGTTTGTGTTACATGGAGTTCGTTCAAATCACTGCAAGCTTTGGGGGACTTCTAGACTCTGCAATAAAGGCAAAAAATGCAACTTTATTATTAAAAAAGTGCAACTAACATTTGCCTACTTACTATGATTTTCAAGCAATCTGTTCTTCTACAGTACCAACACTTCCACCCCTCTCCCCAGAGTGCTTATCACTCAGTACGTGCTTTCTTGTACTTGCTGAGCTTAGTTAATAGATGCACTGGACAGAATTTGAGACTGTTCATCTTCACCCTCACTGCACTGTAAAGACCAACCCCAATTTCAGCTTATAGAAAAGCAACCTTCTCGTTCTCACCTGAAACTTTACCGATAGGATCAATGAGTAATGCCAAAGTGTCTGTTATTAGAACACTTCAAATAAGAAAAGAAAAAAAGAACAAGAAAAACAACTCCCATTGGAGAGCTGGAGAGGGCTATCTAGCTTTGAATGGTATGATAACCTTTTAAGCCAATTACATATATGTGGGGAGGGGAAGAGGGAGGGGAAAATATCAGAGAGGCTGTTCATAACAGAATTATCTCTAGATGGATATGGAACAGGGCTTGACATGTTCTCTGATCTACATTTGATTTAATTTTCAAGCTCTGAGCATAAACTGCATTCCCTTTTTCTCTATAATCACCTTCCAGATGAGCTATAATAAAACAAAGGATAAGACATGATACTCCCTCATTTTCAGTTGTCCATCTCTATCACATGCCCTTTTATTCTCTTCCTCTTTTTTCTCTCTCCCAGCCACTTATTTTTAAAAGAACGAACGCACAGAAATAAGAAGAATTGGATACATCTTCCTGTGTAAACTCTCACCTGATGTAGCTTAAGTGACATCCGTATTCCAGGAACCACTACTTTCCTCAGCAATTCCATGTCAGCAAAGATCCATTCATCTCTAATTGAAGATATACGGAAGTCACCCTTAAATAGGGCATGCAAGCCGTACAAGAAGGATTCCAGATTACTGTACCGGGGCGGGGGGAGGGAATATGAAGAAAACAGCCCAAATATTAACAGAAATACAAACGTATCCACAATTATCATCACTGACAAAAGCAGAAAATACTGAGCTGTACAGAAAGGCACATAATTATTCTTTATAAAGAGAACTTACAGGATAAGACAGGGAGAAGAGAACATATGAGTAAGGATGTGTGTAAGCAAAGCTTGGACACTAAATGTTTATGTGCACTAAACAGGTAATGAATAAACCATACATGCAACAGACTATTTACACAGACTAAAGTAAACAGGAACACTGTGAGGAATGCCTGACTTTATTCCAAAGATTTTTAAAGACAAAATTTTTCAGTGAATATAACACCACAATGGACCAGTTAAGGAGGATATGTGGCTTCAGTTGTGCATGCTTTAGTACAGAATAAAAATCTTGACAACTTCCTCATGCTTAAAGGCATCATTTCCTTTTACTAAGATAACTTTAGAGTGAAAAATCAAACACGCTCTGACCACTCTTGGGACTGCACATCTGCAAGACCTTCAGGGGGCAATTGGCTGGTACTTAGAAGAATTAGTCAACAGTTTCCGCAAAAGTGAAGTAAAACAGGTTTTACAGTCAGCACCCAGCTGACCAATAGCTTCCACATCTGATTATGCCTCTTTTTATTTTCTTTTTAAACCACCCCCTCGTGATTTCCTGAAACATACAACTATGTTTTACATTGGCTTTCTAAAGTAAGTTGAGGCTGGCTGGCTGCAAGAAAGAGGTTGCCATATGATGACAGAGTTGAGCTGAAGGAGATTTGTACAAAACACAACTGCTTGCCACAGAGCCAGCTAAACTGTGAAACTTATCACAACGGTCTGATCTAACTTCCATCATGACATGCGTGTTCTTCATTTTAAGAAGCTGTCCTCTTCTTCCCTGTATTTCCATATAGGGCACATACTGGGAGCAGGAAACAGAGCTTACTTTTAGAACTCAACCAGTTCTTGTTTTTTTTCAGTTATCACTAGTGCTTACCCACACCAGAATTCTCACCTTGCATTAGTTCGATAAAACAAAATGCTCAAAGTTCTCCCTCATTTGCTGTTCTTTGGTTACGTTTCACTGGCTGTTATAACAAAGACAGGTTACATAGCGTATCTGTCCAGTTTAAGGAAAGATGACATTAAGTATCTGTTCCTTTTATGAAGGGGTACTCATCTAATATCTAACCTAGGAGCCCTGCGGGATTTTGAGGAAAGGAAGCTTACAACAGTATTTTATTACCTAGACATATGATGTGAAGCTGTTCCCAATGCTCTCCGCCCTAGAACACACAGTCCATAACACAATGTCACCAGGGGCGAGTCTTTACTTGAATCCAGTGGCTTGTAGTAACAAAAGGAAAAAGGAATAGTCAGGTGAATGGAGTAAAGAAACCGTCACGGAAAAATGTTCTGCCAGACAGAGTAAAAAGACCCAAACACTTACAAAGGTATACAGACTCAAGTGTGCATATGTACCTACCACACCAGTTACTCTCGCTCAGACTTTCAAGAGGGATTCTTTTTTGAAAGTTTTGCAAGTATGCAGAATACTTGTAAAGGCAGACACACACATACTGTATTTGAAATAAGACAAATTGTAAGCTGAATGGATGCATGCAACATTCCTCATGGATACTGTGTATCTTGTATACAAACTGTTGATTAGCAAAATTATGGGGTTAAAACAAAAATACTTTAGTGAATAAAGTGGATTCTCACTTACTGGTTAGGAGTATATAATTCTGAGTTAACCGAAAACTTCCCCAGACTACAGCTTTATTATTCTAGGGAAACTCGCTCTCAACTCAAAGCCAGTAGTAACTGTATAAGGTGTATAATGCCCTAGATAATAGTATCATTCATTTAAGTGATTAAACCCTATTTTCAATACCTACACAAAATATTTCACAAGATCGTGACTTGGAGGGAAACAATTTTCTTCAGCTGTTTGTCATTTGACTGCAGAACGCTTTAAATCTTACACCCATTAAAATGGGCTTCTAATTAATCTTTTACCTCCAAAGTAAAGCTGAACTCTGAAGTCTCGGATCCTTCATTAAACACATAAATTCCAATTATATTCCTGTCCCTTTAATCTCAATCAATTTCTGTTTATTCTCAAAGGCAACACTACTTTGACTAGACCACAGGTTTTTTGTAAACAGTAAGAAGTCAAAGCATTCCTCCACAAACATACTAATGTTTCTATTTAAAAAGTGGAAGGATTTGGAGAGAGGAAAAGGGTTGAATACAGGATGATCATCTTCACAAGCCAACAATTCCAGTGGTCCAAAGGAATGGTATAGTATGACCACTAAGAAAGAAGCAGTCAGTCTTGTAAGCTGGCAACAGGTACTTGTTTATTTGGGATTTTTGTTTTGGGTTTTTTTTTGTTTAAGTTAGGGTTGATTTGTAAACACTGACATCTAAGCACAAAACATCAATTCTATTAACATACACTTTCGTATGTAGATAAATGCCTGACTAAGATGTAACTGATTCATTTGCGCTGGTAAATGAAAATTCATTAATGAACAGGTTAAATCATACACTACTTGCAGAATTTATTTAAATTCACATCTCAAGAGTGGAAGATCAAAACCAGTAAACTATAAATTAATATTTCAATTATAAATCTTGATTTTTAAAATCAGTATTAAACCAGCCTGTACGTCAAACCAACAGGGAAAAAAATGAGACCATCTTAGAATAACGAATGGCTTTCCTCACGTGTTCATACTTACCTTTTCTCTTCGAGAGCAGCAATATTCTATCCAGTTCAAATATATCATACAGAAACTCTCTCTTGAGATCCCTGCTAGACGGTGGTCATAATCCTCATCAATATTGGGGTTAAATGTTGGGTCTACATCAACATAATTGCGGTCTGTGCACAACCGCAGTCCCTCCTGCATTGTCTCATTAGCTAACCATTCCTCTAGCTTGGGGGATGTTGTGACATAATAGATGATTCCCTGAAACAGTAGTAGTTAAAAATATGAGTCAGTATTGCAATAAAAAAACCCAGTCAATTTCAATTGTTCCAACTCATTTGCACTATTTTCCTGGTAATGAACAAAACTGATATACAGTAGCATTTATTTAGTTCACAGATGCAACAAATTTGCACAGAAAACAATACAGGTTTGTATACAGGCATATTTTTCAAAGACTGTCAAGATTTCTGAAGCATGCACTGAAGGAATAAGGAAAGGAAAAAAGGACGGGACAGGACTCTCCCGTAATTTCGCAGAAAAACGAACAAATACATAGGAATTTTTATCTAGTTAACACGGAGCCTTAGATATTGAATTTCTAAAGAATTCAAATGCTAAATAAAAGACAAGACAGTTTAACACCCTTGTGTTTTGGGGGGAAGAAAAACCCCCATGAACTTTTGTGTGTGTGTGTGTGTGCGCGCCCGTATAAAAGTTACCTTGGAAATATTTCAACCTGAAGTTTTTCAGCTCTCTGAAAGAGGGTAGCTTATGAAAGATCTCAATTAGTAAACTGGTTATCTGAAGGGATCTGAGGCCTAGAGTCCTCTTACAACTGCAGGGCTTTTTTTTTTTTTTTTTTAAAAAAAAAAAGATGGTTTTGGACAGCTTTTGAACACCGAAGCAGCTTGGCTTTCTCCAAGAGAAACACACTATTTATTTAACTTTTCATCTACAACACAGCTATTACATTTGGGTAACAGCTCTCAAGTTTCAACTCCAGCTTCAGCTAGAACTTGTCTAGAACAGAGAGAAGACAACAGGGTCATTGCCCTGCCCATATACCAGAGCATCAAGTAATCATCAGTACAGCATACTCTGTCCTCCTTTGATGAAGGTGTTCATACATTTATAATTTGTATCACATTCTATGATCCTCATATGAAAGACATTAAACATTCAAGACATGAAGCAGTTCCCAGATGTAATCCAGCCTACCTCCCCGCAAGGGTTGTACTGATCTGAATCATACCTTCACATAGTAAGTCGTGAGAATTTTCCGGAGATCGAAGACTTGAAGCATGGAAGCCGCACTGTTGTCAGTGATGCTATAACCCTCCAGAACATACTTTGTCACAAGCACTTCCCAAGCCAGCCAACGCTGCCCAAAGGCAGCATTAAAGGAAAGCATATGAGGAAGGTGGCCTGGTTCACAGCAACAAAACCCTTCATCTTCCTCTACACCTTCAGTGATGGCCTCTACTTCTCGTTGCTGGCAATAAGTTCCTTAGGAGAAAATAGACAAAAGAAGGAAGAGTTGAATACTTTATATGATTGCTTTAAATGTTGACTTGTGTTTAAAAGTGTTTAGAATCCAATCAGTCTCCAATTACGTTTCTGTAACACCAAGTGAACTATCTGCCAATGAACACAAAAGATTCGGATAGCTGAATTTATCACTCTAGGATCACATTTTAGTTAGGTGTCTCTAAGAATCAATTATGGTAGCCATGTTGCACTAAAATGCAAAGAGAGACTTAGCATCAACTCTGCTACAGCAAGCTAGTTTTCCTCACAAGTGACAGGGGCATAAAGAGGCCCTGAAGCCCATTTTCAAAGCAATTAATTTACAGGATGGAACTGAAAATAATTTAAAGTTTCCAAAGCAGAAGTCTACTTTTTAGTACAGATGGTTAAGGAAGTATAACACACTCACCTCTGAATTCAAGCCCCCTCAGCTGGAAGGTGACCAAGCCATTTCCTATCTCTATAAGGTGTACTAGTGCATTGAGGTAGTCAGAGGCTAGGATGAAGCAGTCCCCAGTACTATAGTTTCCCCACCGACCCAACAGCAAGTCTCCACATAGGCTGTGCTGAAGAGAACGGGTTAAATGTTCATAGAAGATTGAATTCAGGTTGTTATCATCTGAACCTGCAGGAAGATTGGATTTGGGTTATTATCTGAATCTGCAGAAAAACATCAAGGTTGAATGTCAATTATCACTTCACATTGAATCCTACACTTTTCTTAACAGCAACGTTATTTCAAGGTCGTTCTCCACACCCCACCCTCCCTTTTTTAAGGGACAATTACTCCAGATGAACGCTAAGTGACATTTAGTATTTTTGACCAAATTTTTTCCTTTCTTAGTCACTCCTCCATTTTCCAAATTATTCCTTCAGTTCCACTCATACATCTCCCGTCAATATATTACACATAAAGTGCAAAAGCAAATGAGCACAGAAGTATCTCAGTAATGACTGTTGTACTAGTCTCATCACCATGACATTGAGATACCCTCAAATAACGTTTGGCTTTTTTTAATTATTTAAAAAGAATAAAAAGCAGAACAGCTTAATGCACACTACGATTATAAATAAAAAAGTAAAGCAGACACACATAAAGGTAAGGGGGAAAACAAGAAAAACTTATAGGAGAGTCTAAAGAATAAAGCAAGAGAGATGATGGAGGAGAAAGTAACAGTAGACAGAACAACAGAAAGGTTGGGCAGGGTTGGAGAAGATCAGAGGGCAAACTGATCATGAATCCTATTAAAAAACCCTATAAAAGCTATTTACATTTGAAAAAAGCACCACAATAAAAAAACTGACAAAAAAACAAAACCAAAAAACCACCCCCACAAAAAATCCCCACCCCACCCAAAAAAACCCCCCCACCAAAATCAGACTAGGAAAGCTACCTGGATTTCGATCAAGCTGTGAAGCCAGTCTTGTATTTGAATGATCCACACGCTTTGTGCTGAAAATAATAAAATAAAGCATACTTAACACAAAATTTATTACTGTAAGAAAATCTAAGGGAAGAAACTACTAAGAGAATAAAAATTGTTAAAAAATATTCCAACTGAAATAGTTTCAAAAAGTTATTTTAAAATTTTATATGCAAATTTGCTGCTTTTCTCATATGTAAAAGTATTTTCTGCCTATAATAGCATTATGATCCAATACCTAATAAAGTTTGCCCACAGTAAGTAGCCATAGAATAATCTTTAGCTTTAGATATAAGTGTATGTATTTTCTTAGACAGATACCATAAAGCTTTAGATGTGACAAACTTAAAAACAATTAAATCAGCACAGCTAGCATTCCAGTAGATTTCACTGAACAGACAATTTTCAGAAAGTTATTATTTCATTGGCTGAAATTACAACCTTAACTCTTTAACGTAAGATTTGGAACATTGTATATAAACTGTTCTAGTGTTAGAAGGCGGGGGGGGGAAATCAATAAAGCAGTGAAATGAAAAATTAATTCTCCATAAATACCAGAACTATCTGCTTATCTTGCCCTATGCTGTTTATCTAACATTTCACTGGTCTGATACTCCATCAACAATAGCGGACTTCAGAGAAATAAAACACAGGGAGGTATAAACTGACATTAAGAATTTTTTACTACTGATCCCACCTGGATCAAAAAAAATTTACTTTAAAGATTTTTATATTGGGGTTAGCCAGTTTTAGCTGTGAAATGAGCAATAATGAACACAGGTTAAATACAGTTATGAACTGCCTCCCAAAACCTTTTTGCACATAAATTCACTTTCTGATTAAAATTGCACTTTACAATACTGTAATTTTATGTTTAAAAAAATTACCAGGATGGCATACCTCTAAGTAGAAATTACTTAAGAAGCTAAAGCAAATGTTGCTAGTATTAGAAAAAAACCCAGCTGCTACAGTGTTTCAGAAACAAGTTCATTGAACTTCTAGTGCTATAAACTAGTTTTCTCTGGGGGAAAAAAATAGCAGCACTTGGAGGAAAAAAAAAAAAAACAAAAAAGCAAAACCCACAACACATTTAGCCATAGTTACATTATTAAAACCAAAGGACACAAACTTTAAAGGTCTATTTCACCTACTTGTAGTCTCTTTCCCAGAATTTGACAGGCCTGGCATACGAAGTGATGAATATTGCACTTCCCAGAAAAGGATTCAGTGGAGTAGAGAAGAAAGCTGACACAGCTGCTTGGACAAACAACATTGCAGAATCTGTCGGATAACAGAATTAAGGAAAGCCAAGCAACAACTACTTTTCAAGCTTTGTGATAGTACCTGAAATAGACTGCAACGCCAATTAAGAGCAAAACAAGATCTCCAAGAATTTTTATGCAGCAAAGTATCTCTACAGTATCTCCAGGAATAAGGGGATTAACAGAAATAAGTGAAAATTTGGCACTAGACACAGCGATCATTCTCTTTCTCAAAATTCTGCAGAGAATACTATCTCCATTCAAACCAGCCTACAGAAGTTTAAAATGCAAACCTCAAGAACTAAAACCATAGTTAATGACTCTCAAGAAAGGGAATGACTGTCAGAAGAAAAGCTGTGTCATTTTCAGAATGAAGTAACTCCTGCTTCATGTTTATTTTATGTCAGAATTCTATTCCTACTCTATCTGCTACTGTATAATTCGTAGCATTGTAGCAAGGCAGAAAGTGTGCACAGTTCTTCATAAATACTCACTAGACAAACCTGTTCATTCAGTAGATTTAGCCCATAATACATAACCCATTATAATGCAACATTCAGAAGTTATAAATACACGACTTCAGAAAAAAGCCTGCATTTTCAAAGGATACGTGGCACAGCAAAGGGCTGGGCAAAAGCATGGAAGGCAGATCCCCATGTGATCTGCCAGGGAGCAATGTAGGTATATACAAATCTCAATTTATAAAAGAGTTCCCAAAGCTACAGGAAAAAAAAGAAAAAAAAAGAGAAGAAAAATTTAGTGATTTGGCTGAGAATCAACGTGCTTTGCAGTACACAAACATCCTGTGGAACTTACTGGTCACCTTAGAGTTCTTACTGGTCTACAAAATGTCTTGAGACTTACAAAAAAGATGTAATAATGAAGCAAGTAATATAATATGCACTTCATTGTTCTACTAACAGAAACTCATGAGATGTTTAGAACATATGCTTTCTCAAACATAAGTGCTTTGGGAAGAAGACATCTTATCTGTCTTAAAGCATATTGATTACAGTACCAATAGAACTGATGATCTTGAAGACTACCTATCAGTTAGGACTATCTGTTTTCCCTTTTGGATGACCTGAAACACCTAGAAATAGAGAGTTTAAGTTACCTTGCTGAAGAGTATGGACATGAAGAAGAGATCTAGCAGCATGGTCTCAGTAAAACTTTTGTAATCAAAAGTAAAGAAGAGCACTGTGAAAATAACAGTGACATACTGGCACGTTGGGCTACTGAATGATGAACGCAGTAACTTCAAGCCAGCTATTGTGATCATTAAAGCACCCAACCTGTATAAGAAATTCACAGAAAACAGTTACTTATCTGCTGTCTGAAAGGGGTTTAAAGACCACCTAAATTGTTGCTGTCGTGCATTGCCAATCTCTTCAAACTCAAGGTTTAGATTTGGGTTTGCTTCTGGAGTTTTTTTTGTTTTGTTTTGTTTTTTTTAAAGACGACTTCAGATTATTTTTTTTTTTAAGGTTACTATCCAAGTCTTTCAGTATTCTCAAGTCAATCAATGTTCAAGGATTAGTGCTATCTGTAAGAGTCTCACTAAAAAAAAACAAAATTAATCAGAGGTAAAATATCCTTGTACTCTGAACAGAAACCTTGTCTTTGATTTAGGTTATGAATATTGAGATGCAAAAATGCTAGAAGTGCTCTAGATTAATCAGCAAGAGGATGTTAACGAACACTGGATTACCATTATTTCCTGCATGACTGTACTACTCCAGCTTATATTGGGGAAACTGCAACTTAATGATAAATTTACAGTGATATTCTTTTTCAGAGATAGTAACTGACAGATCAAAGGGTTTATAAAAATAACACTGAAATAATGTAATGGCAATATTCCTCCCAAAGGTTTTGTAGTCACAAGAGTAATGAACCCAAAGCAAGAACTTACTAGATCCAGGGATTATTAAACTTAAAAAACCAAACCCATACCTGAAAAAATCCAACACCTCCCTTCCCAAATACATATTCAATTTTGTTTTGAGATTTATTTTCTCTGCAACACTTCTGTTCTAAATCAACAGAACTTCAAATCCAAAAAAGCCACCTGGTCAATGTTCTCGGAGGCAAAAAATGCAGGGCCTATTATTGAACCCTCATTTGCCGAGACAGTCAGGTACACTGCTCGAAGGATTATAACTAAGACTCAATTTAAGAGGCAGTGTGCAATTCCATCTGGATACAGATTATACTTAGGGGCTGGAAGGCCTGGGGAATTCTTTGATGAGAGCAGAAAGCTGTAGAGGGGCTGCAAGCTGGCACACCAACTCCGGGAACATTACACAGGTCTTAAGTTTACACCTGACAAGATATCAGAATATATTGGCACTATCTTGAACTTGCAGTCTGGATAATGATACTATAGACTTTGAAGATCAACAAGGAAATTCTGATATCACGCTACTAGATAATTCTGCAACCTTTACAGTATATGCTATGAATTGAACGATTTATCTTCATGCAGGTTCCTAGTTTAAGGCTGTAATACTCCATTCAGTTTAAGTCGGCAAGGTGACTTGGTTGTATAAGAGCTTTCAAATAAAGGAAAACTTACTTTATTCCTTGCCTTAGTTTTAAGGCAATAGAATTAACTGTCTTCCCATTGAGGCCAGAACTCACTATTTAATTTCCCACCACAGTAGACATACTCAGATTACTTGATAGCCTTTTCTACTTACTCAGTATCCAGTTTCTTTGGACTAGCAATATTCTTAGCGCTGCTACTAAGCTCATTGAGGACTATCAGTGGATAGATAACATTCTTCTCTACAAAAAGGAGCCAAATGTGAAGTTTCTCAAACCACATAACATGTGCAGCATCTATAAAGATATATTAAAAAGAAGAAATCAGATTGTACTGTCAAATGAAACTCAGCTAACAGAATAAAGATTCTTGATCCAAGTAATTTGTGGAGCCAAATACTAACTGTATTCTCATACTAGTCTTCCATAGTTTTATCTAACGGAAATAAAGAGAAGCTCCTTCTAAGCTACTGTCGCTAGAACTAGTAGAGTTTTTGCACTGTTACATACCTATACAAAATGTATTACAATACAACAGTTTGCAAGCTACTTGCTTACTGTACATGGCAGGAAACAAACTCAGTTGCCACCTCTTCAATAATTTCAACATTGATATTGATGAAGCTGTTTGACATTACGCGTTTTATCTCATGCAAAAGGATGTTTTTCAACCATATTCGAACCAAAAGATTTCTGGTTGACAACTCTACAATATAGAAGAGCATACGTAACCTGCCAACACAAACGTCTGAGACTTAAGAACTTCTTTTAAACTTCTACAATAACTGCAAGTTATATTACAGGATTGCTATGTTTCAAGTTAATGCAAATGAAGATAGTGAGAAAATTTATTTTACAAGGCAGCACAAATATAGGCTGGAAAAGCCTACATCAAAAGTTACATTAAACATTGCTGCATACGTAAAGGGTTAAAGGTATACTTGAAAGAGGCTAGACAAAGGCCCACCCCTCTTCATTGCTATGAATGACTGCACATGCCTAGATGACCCCAGCAAAAACTGAAGTTTCTTTTCTACAACAGAAGCCGTAACGACAGCTAGTCATCAACACAGCATGAATTCTCTAGAAGTTACAGGGACCAAACTGGGATGTGCTACAAACTTATATTTAACGTTACTGGATATGACTGTCCTCTTTCCCGAAAACGCTACTACATATGGAAATACTGATGTCAGGTATCAGGAAAAGGGTATCAACTGTAGCTTCTCTAGTTTCACAAATTAAAAATCTAAGGCATACAACTGCACTTTTCACTTCTTCCTCCAAATAGAGTTTGGCATCATATTACAATTACTATTCATATTTATCCATGTTTACACCCAATCACTGAAAAAAAGCCCACAATTTAGACATCAGGGAAAAGATCACACTGCATAGTTGCTACAAAGGTAGGAAGTTTGCAAATCAATTGATTGCAGCAGAATGCTCACTTTCTTTTCATTACTGCCTTACCTTGAAAATTAACTGAAGAGAAAAAAAAAATAGCTTCAGTTGTTTCTAAGCCACTTTTGATAGAAATTTAAGTCTGCTGTTAACAATGAAAACGTTCCAACAGTGGAGACCCCACAATCTACCGCTACATTTATCCATACTGGAAAATGGATCAGCAGTATAACTAACTTCGTATTTTCTGCAGCCTCCAGGGAAAGATTTCATGAAAATGTAGACTTTAACACAAGGTTCAAGCGCATGTCTATGCAGATCAACTAGTAACACTGGTCCCTTAGTGTGTTTTTTCCATTAGTAGGCCACTTTCACTACTTTCTGTTGTTAAACATGTCAACAATACCATTAAGAATCAAATCCATGCCAGGATGAAATCTCCAACAGCATTCACCATACCTAATCCTCTAAAACATTTGAAAACTTACTGTCTTGAAGAAATACCTAGTGAAAAACACTCTACCTTTATAAAAAAATTATTAAGGCAATCATTAGCACAAACTTTGCAACTTAAGATTTTGAAGACTGTGCTTTAATGGAACTGCTCTGAGATAATGTTAGCACATGCAATATATTATCATCATCAGTTACGAGATACATAAGATGTCATGGAATCAAAGCACGAGGAACAGAGAAACTAAGACATTTCTAGATTAGACGTCATTAAATACTCCAGTGGTGAGAATAACAAAGGAGATTAAGTGTATCAACAGGTAACACAAGTTGGTCAGCAACTACAGCAAGTTCAAAAAAGTGTCACGAGTGATACTTACTTCGGACTTCAAACTGATAGTATTCCTTGGTTTTCAGCAGCGGGTGAGAAAAGCAATGCCAAGGAAGTTGCTTTCGGAGTTGAGGCAGAACATAATGGGTCACAAAGCCTACCGTACCCACCAATGCATAGAGAACATAACTTAAAATAGGCTAAAAAGAAGAATTGAAGAAATTAAGGTTTGTGTTTTATAAACAAAACCATACACTAATAATGTAATACCTTTTCCAGCATCTAGGCAGGTGCTCCTGTAATAGTAAGTTGGGAATGTATTTCTTCATGAGAAGCTGTACTACCAACTTTAATTTCAAACAAGAAATACCTGTGAGAGAATAAACCATCTATTTCTAACAAATTTTCACTAAGTTGGTAAGTATTTCAAAGTAAAAACAGTACACCAATCTTCCTTCATAGTCCATTGCTTCTGACCCATCTGCATTTCATTTTATAAATGATAAAGCTATTATCCTCTAAAGGCTGAACCTGATTTACATTTTCATCTGCTGGATAAAAGGACGTATAAGCATAAGGAAAAACAAATCATTAATCTTATATTCTCTTGAGATGAAGGTGGGAGGCTTCTTAATTCACCAAGACCAAAGTCCTTCACAGAAGCCACAAAATACTACTATATTAACATGGTATGAGGACTGGATTTCATAGTAACACTTCTATACATTAAAATTTTCTCTAATTTTCTAGCTATGTCATGACAAAATTAGGATTGCATTACCTTGTTATAAGCTGTTGATTCAAAATTCTGTGAAGCCTAAGCCTATTGAACTATACAACTGGTGAAGAGCATATAGCCAAGTTTCTCAAACGTGGGAGAAAGCAAGATTTGGGAGGAGTGCTGAAGTCCAGCCATAAAACAGAGATATTTTCCTTTGAAAAAAACCCTAACACACCTGCTTAAGTAGGACACTTCACCTGAAGCTACCTAAATGCATATGCTTTTTAAAATTAGTTTCTTACTTTAACTGTAGGCAGCAGTGGGAGAGTAAAATCCTTCTAAAATACATGCAAGAAACTTTCATTTGCCTGACATAAGGCTGTTGATAAGCTAACCAATGTTTCCATTACAGGAATACCAAAATAAGAAATTCAGTAACGGCAACTCTTCAGGCAAATGCCTTTACTTAAACAAATTCAAGCACAGGATCTGGTCCCATGTCATCATCATCAAGTAGGAGTCGTATATACACATTAAAAGTATCCAAAGCAGTAGTATTATCTAGACTGACAAGTAAAAAACCTTGAAACTCAAAGGCTCTTTGAAGTCCTGTAAATAACCACTCCAGTGAAGGGGTACTCACCTATACTATAGTCTACAAAGAGCCACACTAGCATGCAATTGCTGCGTCAAGGTTCAACACCTCAATCTTTAAGAATCAAACCTTTTAAGCTTTTTTTTTTTTTCCAAGTTTCATTTTTCCTTACTCCAAGATGATCCTGTCACTATTTAACTGAGATAGATGAAGCAAAAGAGGGCATTTTGTGTCAGAGACTAAAATAAAAATGCAGAATGTAAGAAGAAACTAGGAAAGAGCAGGGGAAGAAGAGTTTTTGAGCACATAAAACTGGAATGTGAATATCTTCAGTTGTGTACTTGTCATACTATATACTTAAAGACCATCTAAAACTAGTCAGGAGACCCGATGCACTACCAGAATAAGCGTTGTATCACATTAGAGTATTTGTATATAGAAGACAAAGGGCAGACATGATGGAACACCTTACCTGTAAAACTGTAAATACTGTACTGACGTGAATTGCAAAATAGAGTACACCAATGACTATACACACAATCAGGTCAGACTGCAATCGTTCACTCTGGGGAGTCAAAACAAAATAATTTTAGAAAATACCAGCTTTAGTTGTCCTCTTCAGATTCTTAATGCCCATCAGCAGTAACACTGAAACCGATTAAAGATTTTCAAGTTATGCCAGTGCTAATTACATCCATTGAAGTTCTCAGAAATTTCACAAGATAAATCTTATGGCAAAGAGCATTAGTTCAAATGAGTTAAGTGGAAAGATGCATACCCAAAGTGGGGCAGGAGAAATTAATATAGCCAATATATTATCTCTCTTATTCTGAACTGTGAGGGGGTATCAGGACCCCCCTAGAGCACTGATGAAAGAGCTGGAAGGGCTAGCCAAATTTCCCATTTATGATCTAAGAATTGCTTAGACTATGGGGCAATTAAGAGCTCTGGAAGATAGCTGCCCAGACAGAGCTAACGACCAGGTGCAACAACTAGGCTCTTTAACCCGTTTTCCCCCTCCTTTGCAGAAGGGTAAAAGATAGCTTTGGAATGACCCTGCAGAATGAGTTTGAATTTTCTGTTACCCCTAAAAAAAAAAATAAAGACAAGCTGTTGATAACAGGCAAAAAAACAACAAAACAAGTGATGCCAGACTCAGTCACAAGGGGGCAATATGTACTTAGGGCACTACAACTTGGAGTCTCCCAAGTTTAGACCTGTTCCCACTCTGTAAATACAGTATTAATATTTTCAGCACAGAAAAATCATTAAAGGATTAACTACTCCAAAATCGGCCAAATAATTACACACAGCAATTATTGCTGCAAGGTCTTAACTTCTTGGGATACAACTTTTTTTTTTTTTCCAATCAGTAAGTCCTGATTAAAGAACACTGAAAGAAAGAAAATATCATAATCCTCAGCTCCCCTGCCCTCTTGGTGATTAACAACAGAGTTTGAGAGCTAAAAAGGACCTTGCAGCTCCTATAGTCATTCTCTCCTGTTAAGCGTTAAAAGAATTGCAGTTTCTCTGCTCTAAATATTTACTTGCAGTTTCCACACACTGCACCTTGTCACACTTGTGCCTGCTGTATTAGGAGAAACCCATCTATACTGTTATTCCCCTACAGCCAAGTCCTACACAAGGTTAAATGAATGTTCAACCTTCTTTTGTACAAGTTAAACATACTAAGCTTCTTAGGTCTTTTACCTACTGCTCCACTCTGTGAAAAAGAATAATGTTTAAATATTACTATTTTCATAAATATTTAGAGTGAATTTGTACTAAAAATTCAAAGTATATGCTAAAGTAAATGGAACGGGTTACATCTGCTCCTTAAAAACAAACCAACCACAAAGAAGCCCCACAACACTTTCTACCATTTTTATTTTCTGCTTCTGGAAGAGCGCACACAAAGCTCTTGCCCACAATTACTAGAAATACTGAGTTAATATAGTTTTGCCACCATTAACTCTATCCCACTAACTTCTGCACAATTGCAAGTATAATTTATTATTATCAATATGAGCTAGAAGAACATCCTCGATGATACTTCACTGAATTCACATTAGGGAATTCCAGTTCTCTCACATGCCTCCTTTTAAATAACTTAAATTGCAATATAAGCATTATACTCAGTGTAGTACATTGGTTCATCTGCAGATTTAAAGGAAATGCTCCGATATCGATTCTAATCAACACCATGGTAATTAACAAGTGTTGTGAGCTAAGATCCTATACAAACCAACGTAAAGTAAGTGCTTAGACTGTATTAAAAAAAATAAAATAAAATAATTAAAAAGCCTACTTACCACAGAATTTCTGAGCTTTTCAGGTAAAGGATCTTTTACTTCAGACAGAGGATCCTCAGGGTTTTTGTCTTCAGAATTAGGAAAAAATTTTGATTGCACTAAAGAGCTTAAAGAAAGACAAAAAAACCCCACTGAAAAGCATGTTTTGTTCTACGTGGTTTTAGAAGAATAACAAAGTCAAAAGTTCTATTACAAGTCGATTACAAGAAAAAATAATCCTGGCATATTAGTGCTTTCACATGGCTGAGCAAATTTACAAAGATGAGATCTCAACTTCATAAAAGAATTAGTTCTCTGGTTGCACACAATGACCAACATTAAAGATGAGCAGCCAGATCTTGTTCAAACAGCAGTTTCTCCAGTACCAACAGGAGTAACTGAGCAAATACTGAATTTTAAGTGGGGTTCTGAATACTCATGAAACAAAACTTTATTTCATAAATAACCGAACAGAAATATAACTTGGTGCAAAGTTTAGAAGTGGTCTATTTATCCACACCAATTAGAAAACCAAGAATTCCTTGGTTTAATTCAAACTTCAACAGCAACAAAAGAATCTATACTACTCTGATTAATTCATGCATTAGCCATGCTGACCAAACTACTAAATTCTTAGCAGACCTTGCTGGTACTAAAGACCAAAAAACTTATACCTAAGCTCTTAGAAGACCATACGCAGCACTGCTAGCCATACCTAAGTGTCTCAACCCCTCAATGTGATTTTTTTTTTTTCTTTTTTTTTTTTTACGCAATACCCTATGCAGTACAGAAATATGTGTTATTTCATTTTATGGACAGGAAGCTCACTACAGAATGAGCCCTACATCTTCAAAGGCAATTACACATTGCAATGTATTGCAATGCTTAACTGTGCCACATCTGGCTAAATAGGTGAACCTGCAGGGCAAACATAAGCATCCAGGCTATAGCACTTGGAAAGAACAAAAGAACAGGTACCTAGGGACAAGGACCTCATACCAATGGAGTAAAGTCACCTGAACTAAGAGTAACAGGCCAAGGTTTAGTTGTCAACCCGAAGATAAGAATTTACCTTCTGTGTGAACACTCACGAATCATTAATCTCCCTGTCCACAGAAGAGGCCCCTCGCTATCTACCCCAGACTACTGCTTATCAAATTCATCCAACATTATGGCTAAATTTAAATCCAAGTTCAAGCTCTGCCTAACCCAGGTATGTGACTGAGCCTCTATTGGCTATTCTGTGGGAGGTGTTTCTCCTACTGGAACTATTTTGTTTTACACACATAATTATTAACTGAACCAGAAATACTCTCATCATCAGATCAATACTCCAACTCAGAATAGCAACATGAATACATTGTTCTCCCATGCTAGACGGGAATGCTAATCACCAAACCAGATCCTTATTGTTTTGCATCTGAGATGAAATTATTTGAACAAGTGCTTTGAGCGTACATTCAAGATAAAAAACACAGTAACAAATTAAGTGAAACAGTTCAAAAAATCCAAATGGGGGCTTCAGCTTAAACTAGTGCTTTGAGCAACTCTTTAAATACAGAACAGGTATAGGTTGTTCAGCACAAATGCACCAGCAGAAAGATGGCACCTGACTGGCATTTTGGAGAACATCAGCAGGCAGTTAAATCAGATTTTGGCATGCAAGTGATTTGCCAGAAGTCACAAAGAAAGGTTGTCATTAGAGGAGGAACTAGGTGCAAAATTTGAGAATTTCTCTCTAACTACTGAACTCATATCATACTATTTTTGATAATGCTGGTGACTACCAGTTCAAACAGTACTAATATCTAACATTATAAATAATGTTCCCTTGCAACTTGCTTCTTCCTTGGGGAAGGAACACAAGCTGAGTCACTTACAAAAGTACAGAAGGGTCACTACTTTGTCTGCTGAGATGATACGATATTGCCACTAACAAACCACAAAATATGGAGAAGAGAACTGGAATATGCTGCCCATCCCAAGAATCCTGGAGACAGAAATAAAATGTTAATAAAAAAGGAGACAAAGTACGTAACACTTATCTGACATACAAGAAATATGTATGCCATAGTAAAAGAATGGAAAAAGTTAACTACAATTCCACAAAATGAAACAGGACTTTTAGTACAAAAATACTGTTCAATATTTACCTATGTCTAACTATAGATCAGAAACTCTAACATAGTGTACATCCCTTAAGCCTACACCATCTTAATAATTAAACAGTCATCAGTTTTCATAACCCTTATGAAGAATTTCCTGCATTCCTTGAGACCACAGGTTCTTAGAGTTGCATTTAGTCACTTCTTAATTTTGGAAGTTACATGTTTTTACTCAGATTTATTCTTTTCTAATGTGCTGAATTCAGATTAAACCAGTGGGTTTACTTTTGTTTTCATGATCTGTACTGGATCTGCAAAGATGAGACAGTGATTCTTTGCTAAAGCTTGTTTATCTTGAACAGATATGTTTACAAAAGACTAATGAGTCAAACATACAAATTCACAGAAAGCTAATGATGTTCCGCGGGTGATAGCATCATGGGAGTATTTCCTCTAGCAAGTTCTTACTCTCTGTGACAGAGTGGCAAAAAGCCAGTCAACTCTGAGTTGGAACACGCACATGCTACAATTAATTGTGAACTGAGAGCATTTGACCAATTGACTCAAAACCAATAAACAGAACCAACACCACACTGTTTTCAAACAGAAGGGCATTTCAAGCAAGGCAAAGCTGTTGGTTTTGTTTTGGTTCCCCCCCCCTTTGCCAGCTAACTCTACCTTTCAGATAGGCACACATCTTCACTTTGACACTACAAACTATTTCCTGGTTTCTTTTCAAGTAGAGATTAATTTGAAAAGACTATTTCTGGTTTGCAGCATTGGAAAAAATACTCACATGAGCCATTTTGAGAGGTTAACAAACCAACACATGAAAAACAGTGCTAGAAACAAGCCACTTATGTGATTTTTTTTTTTTTTCTTTTTCCAAGAACCAGTGTAGAATGGAGCTGATGGTAAATGTCATGTGTTTTCGGCCAAAAAATAGCCTGTTAGTCCAGGCACAAATCATACACCTTTTAAAAGCAAAAAGTCTGTTTTGTTCCTGCATTGCATTTCCTTTATTGACATCACAGCTGAGCAAGTATAAAACCCTACCAAATCAGGCTAATATTTCTAATTCACTTTCTGCATATTTAAGTATCTAAAATACAAGGAAGCAGAGAACAAAACCCAAAACATTGATGTATGCTGCGTCTAAAGTTTTGCTCACCTTCAGGGCACCATAGCACAGTCCATACAACAATGCTACTGCCACAATACTACAGATAAAACTGTAAAGTGCTGCAAGCAGGCTTGTGGTAGCTGAGTATCATAGAAAAGAAAGAAAAGTTAAACAGTGTTATGTAATTAGATTAGAATACAAGATACTTCAGATTAAGAAAAATATCAGCCCCCTAAGTTGCAACACCCCTCTGATAGAAAAAAAAAATCCAACTCACAGCAACTACTTGTATTTTCCCCTACAAATTTTTTTTTTTTTTTTAAAAGAGCAATTTATGTGGCTTTATTTACCTCCTCATTTATTCAACAGTGTTACCATAGGAATGGTTCACAACTGCAACAGAAACCAGTTGAGGAAGAAAGAATACTTTTTGACAGACTTACTAGGACGGTAATTCTATTTCTCAATAATCAATCAGAAGACCTTTAGCCTTTTTAAAAATACAATTAGTATTCTATGTTTAGAGGGCAGGAATACAAATAGTGTAATCACTAAATTTTTTAACTAGCCTACTAATCCGATGGCTGCTCCTAGTCTAATGCTTTTGCCACTGACATAAAAAACACTCACCATTGCCACCGAAGACATGAATATCCAGCTGTTCACAGAGATACATCACAAATGTATTCACCTGAGGCAGAAGACCAATGAAGAATACTATGGGGAAACATAGTGTAAACACTGTGGAGGAAAAAAATAGTTGAAAAAGTGGTGAATATGAAAAATATAGCATGGTAATATACTCTTCAGTTTAAGTTCTAGGGTATCACACACACCATTTAACTCAACATCACTGAAGTATTTCTACTGTTATTTCTAAGGAAAACATCCATTATGTAAACCTCTACTTCAATGACTCAGAACTGACTAAATATAGGAGGTTACATAGACCAATAATCAGAGTATTTCTTGTACTTCTTTTTTAATCACTATAGAAATGGACACAGGCCAATTCAGGCTTCCCATTTTTATTTAGCAAAGATCAGCCAAGAGTGTTTACAGATTATAAGACTTGTAAGTTTTCACTCATTGTAAATGAGGCTTATCCGAGCCTAACTGCCTGTCTGGAGTTACAGGAGCAAGCTAACACCATCCACGCTGACGTAAGAGAGGCCAAGCATTTCACCTCTGGCTTTTCTGCCACTAATAACGGCTGACAATTTTACTCATCTTCCCATACCACTTCTGAAAAGTTCTGATCCTAAGTGACTTTTTTAAAATGAAAATGGGTAACTGTACAAACCATTAAAACCTCTGCAAATTATAGGACTTAAGAATGCAAAGATAAATGAATGCCACTTAATTTTAATACAGAGAACGGTATTTCCCAACCTGTACATATCACTTACTTTCCATCTTAAGGAATAAAAGATGCAGAAATAAAAATCTTTTACACAACTGTTAAGTAGTTCAGATATTATTCACAAGCAGCAGCATATCATAAGTTCTAGGTTCTGAGGGGTAGAAGAATCAAACCATGAAGATAACCCTAGCAGACAAAATCTGACAGTTTAGGGAGGATTTTCTACGACCTTACTGACTTGTAGCTTTAGTGACCAAAAGAAGAAACCAATTTTTAAGTATCCTGTAAAGAATCACAAGTCTCAATTTTAAGTTTTTAACTTTATATCCACAGAATGGTTGGATACTAAAGGATATCACATTAGAAATATCTGCAGTGAGATTGGTACTAAGAAGCTGATTTTTTTTTTCGTACTCCTTGGTAAAGTTAAATAATTACATGTTGTTTAAAAACACGTAGGTTCAGGGCTTGGGAAAAATGTTGAGTTCTGCATCTTTTTACTGATACAAATTGGGAAATATAAGACTAAAGACCAGCTACTCAGGACCTGAAGAAAATATTTTTCAGAATTCTCAAGTCAAACTTTTATCTCATTTCATTACTCAAGGAAGCCTACATAGGAGGCAAACAATAAAATGTTCTGTCATTGACAGGTTAAAATGTTGTTTCATAAAGGCCTATAAGTTGAACTGTCTTGGGTCCATTGAAAACAAAATTACAAACCAGATCTGGGAATACAGAATTTATAAAGAATAGCCCAGCAAAAAGCCAACATTTCTGATGGCTTTTAAAGTCCGTAACAGAATTGCTCTCTAACATGGACCACCTAGGTGAAAACAGAAAATAATTGTTATAAAGTGGAGCAGATTTAGACCAATTGATCAAGTCCAATACGTGGGATACAAAATAAATAAATAAAAAAAATTTCATACCAGTCCTCACTTGTCTGTTGGCAAGGACACAACAATTATGTTATCTAAATACAAAGTTTACGTTGCCCTGCACCTGTGTTGTTCTAGTAGCTATGCCTGGGAATGGGAAAAAAGACAGCTGAGATTTTTACTTTGTGCTAACAAAGTATGTTTGCTAGCAGCCAGCTTACTTTGCAATACACACAAAGCTTTCTGAAACAGTGCTTCAGCAACATTAAGAGTTGCTCCAAAGGCAAGGGTGCACGCATGCGCATGTGTAGGGTGGGAGGGGGCTAGGTTTTTATTTTGGTTTGTTCTTTTTAAAAAGTGAGAGCTGTTCTGGCAATCTGATTTTTTTCTTGGTAGAACTGAGGGAAAGTAAAACATAAGGTAAAACATAAGGATCAAAAAGCATTCAGAACTAATTGAACTAAGAAGTTTTAAAAGCTAACCCCAAAATGGACACGGCCTGGTGAAGATGCCAGCACATCTTTTTAAAACTGGAAAAGACTCTTAAGTACTCTTAGTAGGTCACTTTCACAATACAACAGACCACCTACATATACATTTATGTATTACCTTATGGGGATATGGATATACATTATGGCAATGACTCAAGGTGATAGGAAAGGGAAGAAAACACTTCCGAAATTGACAGAGCATAAACAAGGAGAAATGAAGCTAGTTTTCTATCTTGAATGAGTCAAAAGTATCTGCTGTCTTAACTTCTTTTCCCATCAGATACAGAATGAAGTATGCCAGTGCATGAACAGAACCATAGAATCTGTAGAAAAGCACCTTTGGAAATGTCTGGACAATACTCTGTTCATAAATAACTGGCTTAGGCCTTTTTCCTCTGGACATTTAAATACAAATACAGATTTACTAGCAGAAAGTCGAAGGGAGAAACAGCATGAGGTATGAAATTCACGATGTTCCTAAAAATCAAATAATAAAAACTAATTCCCAAAATGCCTGAGACAGTAATTCTTACTAAAAGTCAAAAACAAATTAAAAAAAAGAATCAAAACCAAGACCAAGTTTTAATTCTTCTTGGACAGAAGACTGTCCAAGAACTGGAGGCATGCAGTCATAACATTTAACTGCGGTAGTCTTTCATGCACAGATATTTTGGTCCAACTGAAGAGCAAGCATGTTCAACTTAGACGAATTCTTACAGATTTTATTCCCCCTCCAAAGAGGTGATCCAGAGAGGATCACCCAAATAACTTTGCTCCATTAAAGAATATGCACAAAGTTCCCATGATAAGATGGTCTTCAAATGTTTACGTTCTCTCGCCTTTCTATGGGCTCTGCCTGAGATTACGTAGCTATTACTATTTTCAATAAATCTTGTAACAGGGGAAAAGTTTGTTGTTTGGGGGAAGGGGTGGTGTTTGTTGTAATTGTTTGTTGGGTTGGGGTTTTTTGGGGAGGTGGGGTGGGGTGTTAAATGCCAGCAGTATTGTGAATGCACTGTACTGCTCAGAATACAATGAAAGTACCTCATACCGCCCAAAATTATATTTTTGGTATTGCTGATAGGCCTGTTCTGAGAAGAGACACATTAAATAAGATTTAATCTGTTTATAATATTTTTAAAAATTGTGTCCGTACTGTTCTACCTGATTGCTAAACACAAATAACTCCTACTCATTTGCCACAAGCCCCTCTAGAGAGTACGAAAGAGTCCAAATCAAAACATTTCTTTAACTACTAAGCAGCTAGATCCAAGTTAAGAAGAAAGAACAGAAGGTCCAGGGATGAGGACTAAGATACTAGATAATTAAAAAGCTAAAAATATATATTTTTTTTCTATGACACCATATTAGTTGACATCTTTGCAGTTTGTTACAGCAAAGCTACAGAAGGGGGGGAATTTTCCCCATAAACTTCAGCGAAGCTTAAACTACTCTTTCCAAAGGAAACTAAATGAACTGCATTTAGAGGATGATGATGCAACAGTGTCATAACAAGATGTTTTTTTAAAGGAGATTTCTACTGTGGTGATGCAAACAATTCAAATCCATGAAAAAGCCACTCACCTATAACTAAGTCCCTGGCTGACAGCAGCAGCAATGGGTTGGTGAAAGCCATTCCATATAACCTGAATCTTGTTGTAGATATGTTTCTGCTGCCATAATCCAACAGCCAAATAAGACCACAACATAAACAGAAATATACAGGCCTACTATAGGCTATGATACGATTATGACCCTGTTGAAAAAAAGAAAAGAACATTTGTTTCATTACTAGCAGAAAAAGTAATTGTTACTCTCCTGTTACAGATAATTTCAGAACCAAAATCAATCATTGTTCATCAATTATGTACTGTCACCTCAGCACATCCTTAAGTTTTGTTCATAAAATCCTTAATGCATTGCCTTACAGTGATAGAAGTCTCTTTTTTTGTGGCTTTGATATAACGAGAACACAACAGTTAGATTAAGCTATATTTAACCTTATTCTCCACTAAGTCTTAAAGTATATTTCTTGCAATACTAAATGTCAGAGAGAAACTCTGACTAGTCTTCAAAAGCAAGAGAGAATATATTAATTCTGAAGAAAAAGCAATTGAAGTTTATTACTCAGATACTGCTTCTGCTGGAAAAAAAAATCTGAATCTATGTATTCATTAAAATATACAACTTATTACCTAAAAGAATATGAATGACTTGCTGCAGAGAGATAATGCTTTGTCGTATCTTATTTAGGACGTAACAAAAATATTTTGTCTTGGCAATCTAGCAGATGCACAATAGAATATAAACATATCATGCTAAACTAGCACATTAACATTTCCATGCTCAGATGTTAATGCTCACTAGAGCATCGCATACTCAGCTTAATAGAGTGAAAAAATAAGGCTGTGTGCACACTAGGACAACTGAATGATCTACAAGACCAGAATAGAACATCAAAGCTGTGTCAGTTCATACCAGCATAGCAAATTACAACATTAAGAATGCTTCTCAGTATAATTGCTTGAATACTAAAGATTCATCAAAAAACCTATCATGATATGGCTCTATAGCAAAAGCTAGGCTTAAAACAGGGAGGAGTTTGTAAAAAAAAAACAAAAGCTAGGGGGGGGGGGGGGAATAGTATCAGTTCCCTTCTCTTACACTAAGACAACATAAGCCTCTTGTGCCTTACGAGAAGGCACATAAGAGAAATGCCAAAAAGATCAAACCAAAAAGATCAATTCTCCGTGGAAGTTCTACATCTGCAGGTTAGTACAGCGGCACACACCCATGACTTACATGTCGAGGGGAAGAAGAATCTGGCTGAACGCTCTGAAACCAAAATGGAAAGAGGAAAGTTACCCAATCTACAGATAAGTGCGTTTACCTCCCCCCATACACACTGTCTTGACTAAAGTTCTTTTAGTAACATCTACAATTAATTTTACAATTGTCAAGCCACTCTAGAGCCTTTAAATAACACAATGTATCAAACCATAAAATCTGTTCAGAGTATATGTTGATAGCCAAAGATTTTTTTTAAAAAAACCCAACAACTCATTTTTAGAACTTTTACCCTTTTTTTTTAAACACACAATGTGTTATGCACTTTAAATTTAAATCTGATTTCCACCCTAATAGTCTAATCCTAAGGAAATAAGCAATCATTCTTAAATTACAAAAATACCATTAACAATTGTATAATAAACACTAAGAATCTGATTAAAAATATGCTTAGATATAATTGCTTAATATGAATGCATTGAGGTGTATCCACTAAAAAAAATAAAAACCAAAACAATAAAACTTCAAGTTTAGTTTGTAGGCTGTTTTCAACCAGTAAGAATGTGCTCCTCCTTGGGAAAACAAAAAGTGCATGAGAACAACAAATAAAAGGTTGTTTAACAAACATACACAGAACCATTCTAGTGAAGTGACCTAGTATGACCATCTATTAAACTTTCCATGAATCTGAAGTTTACTCATTTCTTTTTAAATTATAAACATGCAGATTTTTTCCTTAAAGCTCTGACTAACCTGCAACACCCAACCGAAGTTATTTCTATTGTTTATAGAAAGTGAAGATAGAAATTAAAATACCTTCAACAGCGAGTACTGACAACTGGCTATTACCAGGCAGAACTGGAAGACCCAAATATCCTTGAAAAAGCCCTCTATAAGAAGTACAGAGCCCAGAAATGCAACTAGAATAGCTAGGATGACAGCTAACACGTTTTCAAGGATCTCACGATTCCTGTATTAGAGGGAGAGAGAAAAAAAAAAAAAAGAGATAGAATTAAAAGCTAACTATGTCTAGAAAAAGCTGCAAGGGAACAGTTGGGTCAGAAGTTAACAAGAGTTACGCTGCTGGTAGCAAAGTAGTTAAGAATAGATTTGAACTTGCATAGACAATACTAGCACACTGCCTTTTAGCAAAGCTAGGAGCTACCAGGATTTCAATGATAGCTGAAAGCAATTAGTATCTTATGGAATTGAACTTTAAACAGCAGAAGATAACTTCAGCAGACAACTTCAGAAATAATTCAAATGCTCAACCAGAAGCATGGTCTGTAACATAAACCTGTATTCAAGGCCCACACAGGATGATTACAAGCCTGTGAAAAATATATGCATGATAGCTTACCTGTATATAATCTGCCATTCATGATTTTGTAATGAAGAAACTAAATACTCTCACTTGACTAAGATACGCCAAGTGGAATAAAGAGAATTCCGTATTATATTGGTAGTGCTTAGGAACAGAATTAATAGTATTTCTGCCTGGACAGAATCACTACTATATTGTTTATCTGAAGGAAGTTCATTACCAAAATTTAAACACACTATATATTCCAAAAGCTAGTAACTGGGGGGTCACCTTCATTTTATTCCACTAGGTAAATGCAGCAGGGACAACAGGTTACAGTATTAGATGACCATTTGGAAAAATGCTTTGAAACAGCAGGTAAATTCTCTCTACTTGCTGAAATAATTTAAGTGTATGCCAGGTTCTAGACCCTTTCAATCAGTTTTTGGAGAAGGTTATTTTCTAGCTTTAAAGATTAGCAACAAATCTCTTTTTGACCATTCAAAATACGTTATTGCCCCGCTCACGTGAGGTGAGTGGTTTTTTTCCTTTTTAGCACTGCCAGAGAAAAAGGGAAAGTAGCCTTCATTATTTTAGAAAAACTGCATTTTGTATTATTCTTTCATCTTTCAGAGTACAGCAAATAAGTACAATTCTTTACAGATAGCTTTATCTGTATTACTCACAGTTTAGTTACCATTTTTTAACCTTTACTTTCTGAGGTCTAGTAACATACAAGGATCTCACCTATCAAATAAAGCCAGAAGAGTTAATCTATCAAAATTGATGCTAATCCAAAGCTTAGGCAGAATCCAAAAGCGATAGTACTGCTTGACTTTTTGAGCTGCTTCCTCTTGAGGTTGCATGTGATCCTGAAGGTCAGGGCTCAGGTCAATATCTTGCTGCTCCAGTAGATCTGTATCCATGGTTAGCAGCCTGTTCAACCTGATCTGAGGAAGAGAAAGCTAAAAGAAAGTCAGTATTAACAAAAGCTCATTTTTATTATATCACTGTATTCTATTGAAAACTGCTTTGGAAAAATTGCTAGAATTATTTATTTTCACTTTTGAGAAGTTATACGTTAAACACTGTCAGTTCTCAGCCTTCTACTTACTTTTCCTGTCCTTAACATGGCAAATGAACAGCACCAGCAGCAATAATAGTTTGCATACAACACAACTGTGTGGCATTTTAGCATATGCCTTATTTGAAATGAAGTATGAACATGTCTTCCAAGCACATTATCCCATTTACTCTGAAAACTTCAAATCTGAAGACAAGCAAACCGATACGTGAGCAGGAATAGTGTATACTACAAGAATAATCCAATTCTGAATTTAAATAAGTTACAACACATTTCTTATAGTCAGCTAATCTGTATGCACACGCATGCCGAATGGTTGCTTTTGCATGACAAAGCAACATATGCGTGCATCAGTGGTCAAATTCAAACTCACTACATTCAGAATATACTCAGAGACAACCTAAAAAAAGCTCTGCCCTAACTAGTCAGGTACTATTTATGACTGACTATATTTCTCATTTATTTTGTAGTTTGTCACTCTGGAGTTCTCTTGAAGTCACAGTAATACTAACAACCACAAAGGACATTTAAGGAGAGTACTCAGAAGGTTAAAAAGTTACTACAGTATGTGTGTGTGTCATCTAACCCACTTTATAAATTTCATTAACAGACCAAGAAACATCTTAATGCACCGCCCTTTATTCTTAAACAATATCATCATTACAATGTCATTTAATGAAAAATCTTCACAATCTTTTAAGGCAAAGAGTAAAATTTAAATACTCATGTCACCTTTAAGTGTCAAAGTTATAGGGTTTTGGTTTTTGGTTTTGTTTGGGGTTTTTTGTTTTGGGTTTTTTTTTTTTAATAATTAATTATCTTAAGGTTTAACATTGGATTTCTTGTTTTTGAAATTTTTTTTCATGACTCCTTAAAGCATCAGTGTACTGTAACTATGCTCAGCCAGCTTTTTCTTCCTAGAAAAATACTAATAAACACAAGCAGGAACACTCCCTTTCTAAACACATTTCAAAAATACAAAACATACTGTCTAAGATAAGCTGTGTCAGAAAACAGGTGCTTTTTTGAAGACTTTTAAAAAACTTGGTTTCTTAAAGGTAGAATCACCATAACATAACATTTGTCACACTAATAATAAATTTCAGTGGAAATTTCCATTTAGGCACATGGGCTAAGTTTTTACAAATATGAGTTTGCCTTAAACAGAATCATTCCCTCCAGTGGGACCACACTGGCAAACCAACAGCACATAGCAGGTAATGCAGCCTCTTTTTTGAAGGCTACATTTTCGAGGGGGATGGTGGAAAGCAAAGCAAGTTCCTCTAGCAGACACCAGGTTTGAAGAGCACATTCTTGATCAAAAGCATGGTCAGGCAAATAGAGGTCTCTTGCTCCTCTGCCAAATGCTGAATCCATATTTCATTTTCCGTTTTGATTAGGTCATTAGGTACTTCAATATACTTGACTTTGGTTTCCTAGCTTAAGAATCATGACCATTTGCATTGTTTTCATGACACAGCAATGTAAGCCTTCAGAATTAAGAGTACAGATATGTCTGGACTTGACAACAATTTAAAAGGTTAGAGACCACAAAACTAAGGAATTCTAAAGCTAATTGCAGTATTAAACAGCACAAGCCTCTGCCTTTTTTTCCCAGTCACTCCTTGCATATGAATTAAAATTTTGTACAGCAGATTCCAACAACAGATTTTTAAACTCCTTTCAGGGAAATTACTGAAGTTTCTCTTGGTCAGAACACAAAATTTATTCTTTTTTCTGCTGCCTGCTAATCTTAGTAATGCACAGAAGGAAAACTCTGTCCAAGTTGTCCAGTCACCTCTGGAAACCTTTACAAGGTATCTCAGAACATCCAATTTCCACCTGATTTAGAAAATCACTATGCTTTAAGATCAAAGGAAACAATTTCTATTTAAATTTTAAAATGCTATGCAGAAAGATGACTTTGTATGTATATATGAAGTCACTGCAACAATAAAGAAATACTTTCTCTTCTTTTAAACCCAGGTGAGAGTCCTTCTTAAGAAGAAAGAACTACCACATTGGATGATTAATCAGTGCTATAAAATTGGAAAGTCTTCTGATTTTTTGCATACTTTAAAAATAAATAAGAAAAACTTACTAGATCATGTGGATAAAAGCGAACTGAGGTAGAACTCGATACGTGAGAGTCCGTGTCACTACAAGAACAGGGGAAAGACTTCAGATTATAAAACTACATTTTATTTCAACAGGCCACTCTAATTTTCTAGTGTCCCGAATTAATTTTGACTCCTTGCAAATTTTACCTAAAAATCTTTAAGTTTTTCCTTGGATCACATATTTTAAATACAAATATCCACTTAGTCTTGTGTATTGTGGTAAATTCTGTAGCTAGAGTAAATCAAGAGACTCTTTACCCTTATTTTCACTTTTATCCTTCATTTTCTCAACACCTAGTCCCTAAATTGTCTAACAAGGACAGCTGACAGTAATTATTCCAATGGGAAAAAACCCCGATTTTTTATAATTTGTCAGCTACCGATGTGTAAACATGCATCGCATCTCTAAAGGAGTGCAGAGTCTGCTATGTGTTCACAGACAGAATTTCTTTCAATTCTATATTGTTTTCATCAAGGTCTCAAACCTGCCAAAAATAGGGCATACTTAACATGAGTATACCGAGTTACTTAATCTTAAATCGCTTTTGAAAAAGCTTAACTTTAAACAAACTTAAACCTCTGGTAAGAAGAGCAAAATTACTTTGCAATTTCCATTCATTAGAGATGAGGAGAAATTTCTCTTACTGTATCAGAGTCCATATCCAACCATTGCTTTTTCCCCCAATTTTGGATAGCTTTTGGATGTCTGTTTTCCATGTAAATCACATGGCTGTAAGACTTGTATCAAATTTATGCAACTTTCCTTCAGTTCCTTGCCTTAAGATAAAAACATTCTTTGTTATCAATTTTATTTCACTGAAACTCAAGTATTCTCTAAAGCTGAGATCTGATTATTTGGATGTGGCCAGTTTGTTCCTTCCATTAGCACATATAACTTCGTAACAGCAGCCATCAGCAAAGCCACGGCATCCGGAACATGCAAGCAGTAGAGGCAGGCTTTGGCAGCTTTATACAAGGAATACAGAACTTTTTGACAAAGTTCAACTCTACAAAAGGCACTTGCACATTTTCACAAGAAAGATTTGAAGATGGGAGCTTTTCTATTCATTACTCCATAATTCCAATAGCTTTTTCCACCTACACGTGGTGGGAATTTGTAGCATTCAGCATGATGCAATAGCTTCAGAGCAGTTCTGTGTAGTGTAGTGAACTGGGGAGGGAGAGGGAGGGAGGGAGGTTTTGGGTAGTTTTTCTTTCTTCTGCCTCCTGTCCCTTCAGAGAAAGAAAGGGCATCTTTCCAACAGCAGATGAACTTTCCAGTATGTAGCTGGCTATTTCAACTGTAAGTCAAATTTTAACCTCAGGCATGTTAACACTTCCATGTATTGTTTCATGCCATCTATGAACTTGAGAACAAATTTATCAGTTTACATTTGCTTCAAAACTGGAAGTTCATTTGTAAATAAGTTAATAGCCATTATGGTCAACAGCCACCTACTTTCCCAAAACCTGGGTTAAATCCTTTAAGACTTTCTATAAGCCAATCAAAAATGCATTTGTCAAGTTCTCAGTTTGGACATTTATTGTTTAAGCTAATAGTAGTCTTCGTTTTCTGAGATTTATTTAAGTGGAGAAGATTATTTATGCAGTTAGTGTCATCTTCTAGTAAAAATCACTTAGGTTTCAAAAGTAAAAGTGTATGGATAATATTTTATATTGATTTTTTTGTAGTCCATATTAAATAACCTTTTAAAATCAAAATCAAAGATTTTGTTGCAGTAAGACAAGAATCATCACTCTTGACTGGCCTTCACACACACCAGATGTTGGATGCTCTTCTTGCAGCTGGCTCAAAGTTCACAAGTGACATGTCGCAGCCCCCTGTCTCGTAGAGCGTAGAACTGAACTTACCTATTAAAGAAAAGGTCAAAAGCAGGTCAACATTTCATAATGTTTCATCCCACTAGCACTAGTTTCTATTTACTAACTTACTACTGAGATCAATTCAGACATCTAAATTTACATCAGTGTCAGAATATAAAATGTGATTACACATTAATGTGTCACCAGTGCAGAACAAGACATTAGCTACTCAGTCCTCTTTCATACCATTTTGCATGACACATATACAGTAAACTGCAATACTGAATTAAGTTTTAAGGGTTTGTATTTACAAGATGTCACCATTAGCACAACAGAAGCTCAATGTAAGCCTTTCCCCTCCCCTCCCTTAGAGAATAACTGGGCGAACAACTTGCAATAACCAGCTGCTTCAGTTCTTCCGCACCCCCAGTAGAACAATCAGTAAATCATTCGCTATCAGCATTTAAGCACCATGGCATTTAGCTAAGGCTGAGATTCCTCAAGTGTCCTGAATAATTTTTTTTTTTTTTTTTTTTTGAGAGGCACGTCTATTTGAAAAGAAACACAGAGTGAAAGAAGTGGCCAGAGATGCTTCATAAGTTATTCCTCTAGAAAAACTAAAAAAGGAATGGCAGGCAGAGATTTATTCTACAAGCCAGAAGCAAACGCTTCAGTGTAAGAACAGAAGACTGCAAACTAACTTCTCAGATAAACCATCTGGAGTTACTGGAACTCCATTAACCATAATTTCCTAAAGTTGTTATTAAAAACTTTTTGAATGAACAATATCGAGCTATTCCTAAATATATAATTAACAAAAAAGTAGCCAGAGATTATAACTCAAATGATAGATTACCTCACAATGTGATGTTTTTACAGTGCCCTTCTCCCACAATAGTCTGATCAGAGAGATAAGCATTGTAGTTTCCCCTGAAGGCCAGGTTCAATATATTTCAGCTCTGTATGCAGGAAGCTGATTTTGAAATTGTGATCTCATACGAAGTGTTCTGCCAACTTCTCCATCTCTTCTAGCTCAAAACCCTTCCTAAGCCATGATGCAAAGCATGCAATATTTTTAAGATCTGCTTACACAAAACAAAAAATCCCACTTTGGAGCATCTGAAGCAAAAACTGTATACACCTCTCAGCTGCATGTCTTGCAGCTCTTTCTTCTTCTGTTGATACAGGACAACAAACAGTCCCAGAAGAAATACCTAACAAGATCACAACTTCCAATCTTTCCCCTTTCTGTGAGAACATAACCTGCTTCTGATATAGTGGGTTTTGATTTTAATATTTTTTTTAAAACACACTATGATCCTGTTCCAACTTCTCTTCAGACCCACAGATGATCAAGCTCTATTTAGAAGTGTTTGAAAGCAAGGTTAAGAACCTCGAACTGGATAATTAAAACCAGTGAAACTACAGAAAAAATACTGGTATATTGAAGATATCTTCATAAATCTTTCTACCCTCAGAGGGGGCACTTCAGACCAACTAGACACATACCGCAGCCGTGCTAAGGCCAACCATTCTGACAAGACAGTCAGCTACATAGTTCAGGAGTCACATACAGCGTGCGTCAGAGCTCAGTAACGCAACAGCTCTCTCTCAATATTTAATTACATCTGCTATAGGCATTTGTAAGGAAATACAAGTAGAAAGTTCACTTGTTAGGTTTTTCTTCCTCAATAGTTAAGATTTTAATGAAGCGCTTTAGTTAGATATCCTTTGTTTTTTAAAGCATAGTGTAGTAAACAGTTGTTATTGAGGTTTTAAATTTAAACTAGTGCAAGACATTAGGAATATTCCTCCCCACAACTAATAAATAACCTCAGTTACACAGGACTATTTCTCACTGCATCAGTAAAAAAAAATTTTCAACAACAAACATGAAGGTATTAGATAACACACTTGAGGTTCTAGTCAGGACAAAATTACGCATAACTTATTACCGAAAAATCTTCGGTGCAACCAGTCCTTAAAAGAGACAAGCAAGTTAGGGTTAAATTCATCATGTTTTGTACTACTGAACTGAGAGCCTGGAAATTAAATTTTCTGATTTTTAAATTAATGACATTCTAGTCACAGAAATTAGAATATACTGCTTGCAAGATATAACTTCCCATTCTCTTGGGCTGAGATAATACATCAGATATAGTTCAGTAAACTTCTTTTGAAACAAATATTACACTCATGTCAAATGTCTGAGAAGGGTGTCAAACTATGAAAAAAATTCAGCATAAAACACTTCACGTTAGAAAATATCTACAGTTCCCTCACATCCAACTCATCTTTGAATCTGTCAAAATTTACTGCATTTGTGTTGCTGCTGTAAGTACTGCATGGCTGTGGTGGGATGAAACAAACCCGGTTAACAGAGACTTAGCAAACCAACAAAACACTTAATTCCAATTGTTTACATGCAAACTACAAAACAGACTCAGGTTTTGCCATACTTGCAATTCACCCCCCCCTACTTATATAGGCTTCCTATTGAAAGTTAGCTCTCTGTCAAGAAAAGCATGGCTTCTCAATAAAACAAAGTTGCCTGTCCCTCTCTCCCCCCCCCCCCCTTTTTTTTTTTGCCCCCCCCCCCCCCCCCCCCCCCCCCCTTTTTTTTATTTAAAGATCGAAAGGCCCTCCAGAAAAGCCTCAACTCATCCGAAGTAGAAAAGATGACAGGACTGTTCGGTGCTGTTGAGGATGCAAACCCTAAGGTGTGACTGGAGAGCCTACAGCTGAGCTCCAAAGTCCCATCAATTAAATACTTCTTGAACTGTGCGAGGTAACAGCAGCTTCCTCACAGCACTCTCAAACTCTAACGAAGGATCCCAATGCTCACAAGATTCAAAATGTATGGATATACCTAGCGTTTTTAGTTACCCTAGTAATTTTCTCTCCTTTCCATTCCTAGCTCTCCCACAGCATTCTCTGAAATATTTTTAACAGCATCACACTGAAGAAGCTTAAAGAAAGTTTTTTTCTTTCTCTAAGGACTACAGTTTTATCAAGTTGTGAACAAATGGCAGACTCAAAAGTTTATTTTTCAAATCAAGACATACAGCGAGTGGCATGTTTGTCCACTAAACAGAAATGCTTGTAACTTCCCCCACCCCGCTCAAAGGGAGAGCTGTGAGTTCTTAGCAAATTAAAGTCACCCAAGCAATATTCTATTTGTACCAGGTTACAAAAATAACAAAACCAAGTCATTGACACTCAGGCACACAAATCCAAAATACATCTTTGTTCTGACATGAAAAGAGGAAAAGATGAATGCACTTCCTTTGAAACAAGGAAACTTGTTTCAAAAGACAAAAATGTCTCGTCACCAAGTCCAGAGACAACCACGTAACAGTTCACACTGTACAAACTGGTGTTACCACTGTTATGGCAATCAATGAAAGCAACAGGCTGATGAGCATACACAGGTGAAACCTGGAAGACTTAAGTGGCCCAGAATCCAACTAAAATGGTGCTCTGATGGTTTTCTCAGCCCAGTTATTTTCAGCACATTTCCCAGTTTTCCATCTAATAAATACTACTTTGTTTTAAACCTCTCATAAACTAGTTCTGAAAATTGCTAACGCTTTTTGACACGTTGAAGCCTACGTCATCATTATATCATTAAGATATATTCATCTATTACTAATGACAATATTTAAATCCTAGTCAGCAAAACCAAAGCAGCCATCAGAATTTGAATACTCTGTAGCGTGCAAGGAGCTATCATTTCCAAAGGTCAAAATTTTACCTTCAGCTGCAGTATGAAGACTTATAAAGTTTCCAGTTAGAACACTTCAAAGTGGTTCATTTTTTATTTCTATATGAACTTTGTCAAAAGAGTAACTTACCTATTATGCAGAATTCCACAACAGGGATATTTTCAATAGAAACTGTGGGACGTATTTATTTTCTACTCGTACCTTTGAAAATACTCCCCCATCCGTCCCAAATAAATTAAGCCTACTTAATTATAAAAAGGTATTGACAAACTGATTTTAAATTGTTTTTAATCCAATGAGTGATCAGTGTATATATTTGTATTTAGAGAAAAGTTTTGATCTTCAAGACCATCCAAACTGCCTTCATAAACTAAAATACTTCAATAAAACTGAAAGATTATCACTTGCATTTAAGTGATAAAACCAGAAGTCCAGCATAGCAGTGTAACTGTATTACAAAGCTCCAGATGACCAGTTCTCTTTAATCACAAAAGCAATATTCCTCAAAAAAAAAAAAAATCATCATCTAGCTGAGGACAAGAGGCTGTTATTTCACCCCAGTTTCAGAAACTGGGCATCTGTTCTAATACTCAGTACTTGGATTCCTAACTACTTCACAAATTGTACCACCTACAGCCTTTGCTGCAAGGACTGAAAAATCCCACCCATCACCTACATGTCTGAAGAATCAGGTATTAGTGAGAACAAAAGGCATCACTACTGCCACACTGTGCTCTGAAGACTGTCATTCACTTAAGTCATGGTATGTGTTTTGCTGCTTTCTGGATTCATATTATCATCCTGCCTATAATCATGGCATTTGGTCTGCCACCTTTCCTTTCCGTCCTGCATTCCTCCTATGATTTATTTCATGTTTACTGGTCCACATTAAGCTCCTTTTCCACCCTTTCAAGTTCCTTCCCTCTCACTCCTCACAAAACAACAACGTAATTGATAAAAGTCTTTCTACTTCGAACCTGGAAGACTAAAGATAATGCCTCAAAGCATCTCCTGCCTTACTCTCAGGACAATACCCAGTTAAAGACGACCGTATAGTCACCAGACTGGATGTAGGCTAGGTAGAATACAGTAAGGTTCATCCTTCATAAAATAAGCCACCAGAATCAAGTTACAGACACGAATCTTTAAAACAAACAACAAAATAAAAATTGTGTGTCTTAAGAGCTGCAGCTTGACATCAACACATAAGTGGAAAGAATGTAGAAGCAAGACACTGCATTGGTGCACAAAAAAAAGGAGTCCTAAACATGGGGGCTTTTAACATAAATTAACATATGCCCTATTTGTCTTCCAGAAGCGCTGGAATACGCTAATAAGAATTTCTTTTCTTACTGAAATTCTATATGCATTGTAGAGATCTATAACACCATCTATTACTTTTGTCACTTATATTTCCACTTGCTGTAAATCAGGTTTTGTTTCCGTATCTTTTCCCCAGCCTCTATTTTCAGTATTTTTTCTGCCCTGGGCAGTCACAGCGATTTCCACAGTGACAAAGAATTGGTTGTATGGCCTGCATTGCTTTGATCAGCATCAGAATAGAAGTTAAAGAAAAAACAAACTGCTACCCTCCCCCGCTCCCAAACCACATACAATCTAAAGTAACAGGGTCATCTTTCACTGTGAGTTATCTTGGGACAACAGAGCAAAACCAACAGCCTTAGACTTCAGCAACACAGAGCAGTAGTAATACTTCACCCCTGACAAAGGACAAACAAAACCCAAAACCAACCCAACCAACCAAAGAAAAAACAACTCAAACAAGAGACCATGTACCAGTTATAAGGAAAGATACTCTCTCTTCTTGTTGCACCATTTTGCCAACTATCTGACTCTAACAAAAAATACTACCTATCACACAAAGCCTGCTACACAAGCTAGAAAATTTGATTTTCCTAAAAGAATGAAAACAGATCTTGTCTATAATAGCTGCTTTCACGCATGGAAGGTTTCTAACAGATGCTCAGAGCTTCAAATCAGGAATAAATCCCTATTATACATCAGATTTTTAACTGAGCAGATCCTGGAAGTTTTGTGCATCCCAAAGGCAGTGTGCTGCCTCATATAACTAAGCACAGCAGACACAAAATTTCAGAAGAATTTAGCTGTATAAGTTTCTGAAGACTCCAATACACGCCAAGTGCAATGAATATGCCTTTTTAGAGAGCCTGAATGCAATGCTGTATTTCTTAAGTGATCCACTTTGATTTCTACTACAACATAGTAATATAAGTTCTTAAATAACTCAGACTTAACTAGATTGTGTATTAAATCTTGAACTCTGTAAAACTTGATTGTATTATTTTGGGTACAATGAAGCAAATCCGTCAAATACAGTAATGGTGGCTTTAAGAATAAATCTCAACATTAACCTTGGATAGATATAACCAGTATCCCTGAACTTCAGAGTTATATTCCAGTATTTTTTCAAAGAAGAGAGTCTAAATTAAATAAAGAAATCTGTAGTTTCATGTGATAAGCTTTCATAGTTCAGAGATACATACAAGCATTGAGGCATGTCTCAATTTTTCTATCTAGAAACTAGTAGAGCCACAGACTCTAAAAATGAAAATTATCAGGTAAGTAGATTGTGTGTATTTGGCACAACTGTAGTTAAATTTTACAAAACACCTCAGAGAATGTCAGGGTTTTCAGTTTTGCTTATATTCATTTTTTCCTTATACTACAGATCGATGGTGCAGAAGAATGGCAACTTGTTAGCCAAACTCATTAAAGGAGTACCACAGCCTGGCAACTCTTGAAGTCTTCCCCACTAGTGGAATAAGATGATAGTTCACTTATCTTTTAGTCCCGGGTTACAGTAAGGTCTGAAACAAGTATTTTGTCAGTGTTCTAAGCTAACCTGTACTTTTAAGTTATTACAGCTGACAGCTGCTCAAAATACTGTCAACTAATAATTGTCACTTCTAAAGATGCCCATTTTAATAATTCGAGGAAGAATTCCGTATTAATGCTGAAGTCTTAAGTCATTCAGGCCATGCATAGATAGCTGCAGAGATCCCTGCCAGGAATTTTTCCACATCTTCCCCTGCATTACTGTGTCACAGGAGATCAGTCACTTATGACCATCTTAACTTCCTTCTCCCTAGCAATTTTATTAGCTGCATAAAAGTTAATAAATAGTTAAGAATACTACATAAAATGGACCATGAAGAACTAAGGGGCACTGTAAGTCTCCACGAAATGATGGCATTTGATATAAGAAAGAGTCCAGATTTTCTTCAGGTCTCAAGCTCCTAAATTAAGGTGTACATGAAAAGTAAAGCACTCTCATTTACATGAGTATTTCTTTTTTAAGCAGCAGCTAAGCAAGACTCATCTAAAAAAGTAAGATCAAGAATTCCTAGGGACCATAACAAATATTTTTTTTCAGGAACCAGAAGTTCCTCAAAGTTGGTATCAATCTCTGCCCAACTACCCCTGACAATGCAAGAAAACTTACGCATTACATGTGTTACATTGTTCAAGTCATGAAAGCTCTCACACCATCGCTATTTGTACCTAGGCATCCTTAGGGTGTTTCCCATCGTGCATCTGTTAGAGAAAGTGCCTGGAAAGGTGACTGTGAAAGGCAAGGAATTTATGAGCAATATGGCCTTCTAAGAAACGCACCTACAAGATTCAGAAACAAAGCTAAGGTTAGCTGATTTTCACCGCATTATTACCGATATATCTGCCGTATTAAAACTTCCATGTCACCAAGGTTACATAAGGCCTGCATACCAAGTTCATCGTGCAAACTGCTACCGCCTACAGCAGATGCAGTGGCATGTGATGCTTCTAAGTGGACACTCCCATTTCTCACCAGCAAGGAGGCGCTAGCGCCGAGCACAGCTGCCTGGGAAGGGGGGCGGGACTGCACTCTGACCTGGGAGGAGGGCTGCTGGCCTTGCTGACCATCTTGAAGGCTACGAGAAAACACGGATTGGGGACACATTACCAGGAAGAAGAGGAAAAATAGCTAGAAGCGAAGCAAAACAAGACTTTAGTTCAAAGAGGCAAACTTCAAAGAGTATAGCATTAAGCCACTTATTAGGGTTAAGACAACCCATGAGGTCCGTGTAACAGAATATTTGGACACTAGTTATGTCAGTAATCTAGAGATACACTTCCTGTCCTACTTCTTAGAAGTAGTGTTGCTTTCTAACATCTCCCCAAGTCACCGTCAAGTATATTCTTATTAGTCTTAATTTGTGAGCGCAAAAGCAAATTACTGGTGGTTAATCTAATTGTAGACTAACCCAAGGTATCACCTACATACAGTAGTGACTATTCCAGTCTTCTCACAATAGTTAGGGTCCTTTTTGCTCATTGAGGTATGACTTGATCAACTGTTTAGTTGACCATCTGAGGTTTCCTTGGTCACAGTAACATCACCTTTCTTGCTATTAATCTGCAGTCTAACTAGAAAATGTCTTTAAGCTTTGTTAGTAGCCATACGCTACCACAGACCTTGCAGATAACTGTAGTTAAACATTTGGATTCAGAATTTTTTTGAACATATTAAGAATGCTTTTAACAAATTAATTATTGGTAAAAGTTTTAAGTCTATTTTAAAGTTATTTTGACAGTACAGCAAAAACTTTATTACTCAGTATTAATACCACAAAGAAATTCTTCTATACCCAGACACATACCTGCACCAAAAAACAGGTTTTAAAAGTCAACTTGGGCTTCAGAAGTTTGTAAGTTTACAGCCATATGAGTAGACAATGCTTGAAAAATGTTATTTTTCCTCTTCACAGCCTTCTCATTGCAAAACTATTTTATAAAGCTATTCAACAGTCAGGCTTTTTTTTAATAGCTTGTTTAGTATTAAACATGGCAAAGTGTCAGAATACATGACATTTACACTTGTATATCACGCCTATTCTGCAAGATTAGTGTTTTTATTATCCTTCTTTTTGTGCACTTAAAGAAGTTACATCACAGTCAGCTGTAGGACGTGATAAAATTAAGAAATTATTTTGTTTAGACAGACTTATATTTTAAAGGCTATGGAAAATATGTTAAACACTCTCTTTTGAAAAAACAATCTTTATCACCTGTTGCTTTTAACATTTCACTGTTTACAGCGTGATGCTACAGTTGGCAAGTGAGGCAACTGAAAAAGCAAGATCTTACTAAGAGCTGAGGGGTTATATCTGATGTACTTGCTTTTAACAATATTTTCTAGAACATGTATTTTTCAGTTCTTTTGTCATAGCACCACTGGAAAACAAAATATGGATATAAGTTTAACATGTTAAAAAAGCTCATGCAAAATAAAGCAGACATGCACACAGCTCATGAGGTAAGAAATTGCAACTCATTATTTATTGTATTCTAACATTTTAATCTGAACTTTAAACTTGGTGTTCTGCTGCTGTACACAAGGCTTTCAGTGAGCTACGTGTCAACAAAAGCCCTAAGGAAGCTCACAGATGTGCCAGCCTTCATTGTCTCCCTTAAGTATTATCAGCAACACCAAAACAATGCTAAACAATACTGCTTTCCCTTAAATAGTAGCTATGTATCAAAAGGTATATACAAAGTTGCCCTTTCAGTGGTTATCCATATCTGTCACAATAAAAAAACTCCAAAACATTTACATTAACAGATTGCACAGGTACGCAAGAAATACATTTATTCTCTGCCTAATTAATAATTATAAAAATAAAATTCAGCTTCAGACAGTCACTTATGTTCTCGTATCAGACACACATGCATACACCATTGACTACATAGGATGCCAATGCATACTTATGGTTAAAGTGCCCAAAACACTGTTGACATTAGGCAGGACAAAAGCAGGGATGGTTGGTTGTTTTCTGATGGGTTTTGGGGTTTGTTTTTTAAGTTACCAGGCAAAGTACTTGTGTTTAATTTAGCATCAAACCAGCAGAATTTACTAGACCAGGTTTTACTTAAGTGTCTACCGTTGCCAAACACACACATATATAACGCCATTGTCTCTTTTACTAAACATTCCAGAGGAAGTGAAAAGTCATTGCAATAATGGATAGGAAATTTAAAGAAAAAAAAAAAATCAGGTTGAACTCAACAGGTTCTAAAGGAACATCCCCACAACATCCAATTTTATGCCAGAGTTAGAAGATTAGGAAATTAAAGTTTCGCTGGCAAGAATAACAAAGTAGTAACATCAGGGCAACTGAAGATTAGTAAATCTAATGCTGTTAGAAGTTTAACATCTGAAGTCATATGGATTAGCAATATCGGGAACTAGACCGAGGCAGCTCACCACTAGCACATACAAGTAATGCCAGCACAGTTGCAGTGATATTTTGAACGGATCTTGGTGGTAACTGGCTAAAGAATCTCTGTATTTCTTCACATTTCTTCCTTATGCGTGATTTTTTTTTTTTCCCCCCCTAATCTTTTAAGGGTTTCTTCTTCCAGCAACACATAGAATTTACGCTAAAAATTAAGCTACCCAAATAAAGGGAAGTTTTTTCAGACTATTCATCTACAAATCAGAAGAGTAATAAATACAATTTTTCAGATACATTGCACAGTTGGTAGTTCAAATGGAATTTGTGTCAAACAAATCTGAAAGCACTTTGGTGTTTGGTTGGACTAAGGCAATTTAACTCCACCCCAAGGGACAGTCATTTAGCATCACAAACAATGCCTTGAGCAAAGTAACCTCACTAAGTATTCAATTCTGAACATATGTTTATAATACAAGTATTTTTTTTATAGTGTGTGTCATTATGTCAGAGAAAGTACAGAGTTTTGGGTTTTTTTTATTTAGAAAGGAACAAATTTAGATAACTGGAAGATGCACAGAGGAAATACAAGGCTAGAATATTTGTTCCGCTTTTTCACCCTCGAACATCTTGTCTGCTTAAAAAATTACTTCCACCAGCTTCAGTTTTCTCATGATCTCTCACTGAAGTCCAGCTTAAGCCATGGGAAACTTAATGACTGCACTAGCATGTGAAAATGAAGCATCTGTCAGCCTCTGTTTAAAACAAAGTCCTTTATTTGCCCTACTTTCTACCTTTCTAAGAGAAAGAAAACTCACTGTTTTCTGCCCAATGCACAGTTAAGGAGCTCTGATTAGTCTGCACAGCCTCTTATGAACCAATACACAAAACTATACTACCCTCCTCTTAAAAAGACAGAAGACGACACAAAAAAATATCAGAAGCAAGTGAATGCAACGGAGAGTAGAGCAAAAGTAATCTAAGAGAATGCACAGTTTTAGCAACCCTCACTATGAAGTAAATCACTAACTTAAAGTTGAACAAACTACGTTCAGCAAGACCAGAAGCTTAACAAAAAATTATCTGAAGTGATGTTATTACTGCTACATACTGCACTAGCCAGTAAAAACACATCTAACTAGTTTCAGTCCTTGATGTGGCAGAAGTCAATCCTTCATTTGTTAGATTTTTAGGTACTATTCTTGCAATCCTCCTGCCTGAGGAAAATTTAAAAACTTAGTCCTTGATTATTTCAGTGGTGCCACAAAGGTGGCACGATTCCTCCCCCATCCTCTATTGTAAAGTATTTTATTTTTATTTGCTCAGTTTCTATAGCTTTTTCCAGCTAAAAAAATTACACAAGTATTCCTGAAATACAAACGCAGACTGCTCCCATTATTAAAAGACAGCTTAGCATATGAAGGAAGATCATTAAGAATACACAACATACACTATTATTCCTGCATATTTATCATATAACTGGAGGAAGAATTACTTTGATATGTATGGGGGAGCATTCCTTCCTCTACAGGCAATGTTCTGCCCACCAGATTCTCCAACATCGTAGGCAACCACAGGATTGAAAGATTTAAAAAGCAAGTTTAAAAACTTATTGTGGTTGCTATCTTCTACTGTTCAAGCTGACAGACCAAACAGAGTTGCTGTATGTAACATATTACTAGGCTCAGTATTGTAAACAAATGGGCCAGTGAAGGTTGAGGACTCCTGGGACACATGTATACAGTACATTCTAAACATTGCCAAGGCATGCAGAGTGCCACACAATTAGATTTAATACTGAGCAATACCGTGCATTCTATAACAAAGGCATCGCTATTATTTCATTATTTCTCTTTTGCTGTAAAAAGCTGCAGGTTGTTCATACAATGGTTTACCTATTTTAGATTTGGAACCTTTGCATGTACGATTTAGCTCTTTATAGTGTTCTGCCATTTTGTTATTATGCTTATTTCTCACTATCTACAGACATGAAAACTGATTATGGTACTAGTCCCTAATGCTTACTTTCTTAAAGGAAAGAAAATCCTTTTTTGCGAGTATTATTTTCTTAGGTTTTTCTCCTTGCTTGAAAGTAGACGTTTCTAATGTTTTTGATAAAAAACACTGAGTCTAAGTTTGTTAGCATTAGTTCATTTTGTTATCAATCTGAAGTCAGCTATAACATGTTAGAGACTGGCTATCCTGATCATTTTGAAAATAGTGCCACATATACATGCACAATTCAACAAGCCCACAGTGACATGCAGTGACAGCTCAAGGAGGTTATGGTGGGGAAGGAAGTAAAAAGTGCTTTTCTGGCAACACTGGTGGGTGTGGGGAGAAGTGGTCTGCTGCATGCATGCTAAATATGGTGGAACATTTAGATACCCTACCTGAGGGGTGATCCGATGAGCAATGTAGGAGGGGTAGGGTTACTCCCTGCATTGTGCCGGCGTCGTACTGCCTGACGCCTAAATGTGCTGCGTTCACGACGAAATGTGACAGTCTCCTCGCTGGCTTGTGCTGCTGCATCAAGACAGACTTTAGGTCAAATAAGAACCCATCCTAGTTACGTACACAGTAACTTAAGACTCCTTTCTTCCCCCTGACCCTCCCCAAGTTAATGAACTTGACTTGCAACAACAAAAGTAGCTTATGCACTGACTCTTCAAATAACCTGCCTCAAGACAGGATCACAACACACAATTATTAGTAAAAATGTGGATGATTGGGAGGGGGGGTGTGTGTGTTCTTGAATATACAGCTTGCTTTTTTTTTTTAACCCCCAGATCCAAATAGCCAGGTTGCAAAAAAGTTGGATATTCCAAATCTCTTCCATTTACACAGGGCAGGAAGAGACAAGACCGATCTCACCCTTTATCTCATTTAATAGATAATTAAAGGAGAAGCCTAGAAAGGTTGTCTGCCACTCCTCACCAGAATATGCTCTTCTCAATTTTATAGTTTCTGCCAAACAGGTAGGGTTGAGGTTAACCTCATCACACCTCCTCAGGGGACAAAATAGAGTTGCTTTTTATTTTTTCCTCATAAGCACCAAGGGATACACGTTGCTCATTTTAGACTAGTTACACTATGATTTGGAGGAGCCAGGGGTTGAGACTGAGCAAGAGAATAACTTCTTTGTAAGGATTGGTGGTTTTGTTATTTCAGCTCCCCAAACAAAAACAAACAAAAGGCTTGGTCCACTTAAAAAGCAACACTGTAAAAAACAGTTTGTATGTGCTCAAGGGAGTCTAAGATTTTTCCACAGATAACTCCCCAAAATCCAGCTGTGCTCCCTAAGCTTCACAGTCTGAACAACTTTGGATTTGGACTGCTTCATAGTGTGTCTACAATCTCAGTCTTCCTCCTGAACCAAGGAAGCTACTAACCAATTTGAATGCAGAGCACTAGAGAGCTCAAATGAATGGGTCACAGAGAAAATAGGCTTTGGCAGGCAAGTGAAGGAGGAGGGAAAAAAAACCACACAACCAAACAAACTTGACATGAAGTCAGTGCAAGAGGAGAATCACAATCTTGAAGGGGAAGTCACAACTTGGTAGCCAAGAAGCCTGTTACTAGAGTGAGAAAACCAAGGATTGTGTCAAGCCAAAATAAAAAAAGAAAAAACACTGAAGGGAGCAATGCTTTTTTATGGCAGAAATATCACAGGCAGAGTAGTCCATGTTCACTTCAGCACATTTCAAATTACAACATTCCTGTCATTAAGCTTTCAAAACTTACCAGCAAAGAATCTAAAGCTGGTCTACAGGGAATAGCAACCTACAGCAACCTACTACTGCTGTGTATTACTGCCATAGCTCAAGCAATAAAGACTGCATGGAACAAGAGTCTAATTCCACCCGTGAACCACGGGTTATCAAGTGAATAATGTATATGAAACTTCAATCTGTAGTTTGCTTTAAAAGCTAAGAAACTACATGAAGAGATATACTTTAAGACCAACATTAAAGCTACACACATTTCATTACCAAAATGTCAAAAGTTAAGGACATCCTTAATTCAGTCCTTTCCTATATTTTCAGGAAAACTGTGGGATTGCTCACTTTCTCCTCACTCCTCCCTAACTGTTTTTGCTATTCTAAGCATAAATAGATGATACTTCCTTTTCAGTGTATTTCAGCAAGAATTCAATACATTTCTCTTGTGGTTTAATATACAGCTTTATGCTTTGTTTTAATACACAGCCTAATTTCTTCAAGGATTTCTTTATAGCTCTCATACTTGAAGTACTGGGAAAGTGAAACACACTAAACAAGATAGTATGAATCCTGACTTTTTTCCGGTGGATTAAAGTTAACACACAAGGGGTCAAAACTGCCCACTAATTTTGGGTACCAATTTGTAAAGCTCAATTTTTCCAGTGTGTACATCAGCATATATTCACAACACAGCTTTCCCTGACTTCAGATGCAAAAGCAATTCCACACATTTCTGCTAATCAGGCCATAGTTAAGCACCACAAAATAAAGAACAGTGACTAGTCTTAAATGACATGTAAACATCTTAATTACCATTACAATGGTAAACATCAGCATTACATCTCAATTACCAGTTACAACTACTTAGCAAAAGCAGCATTCAAGGGCAATTCTTCAAGGCAGCATACTTAACACTAACATTTGTTTTTGTTTTCATATCCTTTATTCAGTAAACATCACCTTCTGCAATAACTGAAGCCCAGATTATGGAAACACTAGAGGTCCTTCCTACACAGCTCCAATTTATCACTAAAGCAAGTCTACATCAAGCACTGACTGAGGTAGTGTCCTGTGAGGAAAATAGAGAGATATAAACATGTTTGAAGATAAAAAAAATTAAAAATCAAAATTCATACGTACTTGGGGATTAAATTCAAAGCTCCATAGGCAAATAGTTCTGGCATTTGCTAACTTTTTATTATTTCACTTCAACCTTTAAAAAGAGTAGATTTGGTGTAGATTTCTACCTAATCTACCAAGGGATTTTTGATTTATCTTGAAACTTTTGTTCAACACACATCATCTACATACGCTCTTCTTGAACGTAGGTGGTGACATTCAGGATCACTAAGCAAGTCTATAAGTTCTTTTGAAAAGACTGCAGAGCTTTTCAGCCCAACAAGCTCCAAGTCTGCTAACATTATGCAACACCTCAAGAAGCTACATGTTGAAACCATGACTAAGAAAGTAAAAAAAGCTAGCTGAGCAGAAAGGATTACGGTTTGTTTGAAGTGTGGAAAGCCAAACTGAGCGAAGTTTGGTTTTGTTTTGGGGTGGGTTTTTTGTTTGTTTTTTTTTTAAACTCATTTTTTTTTTAATCCTGTGTGTTCTTTAAAATAGCAGTATGGAAAGCTACTTATGTTAATACGTATTATTTGTGTTTCTACTTGTCTTTAATGAGAAGGAGCAGTACAGCTGCTTGTGAGTTGACCAGTAGGATGTAAGATAAAGCTCCTAAATTATCCTCTGTCATGCTCTGAGAGCAATTTAATCATGAGGGAAATAGCTTTGTTTTAACATAAATAAGCTTCCTTTAATATTTACAAAGTAACACAGTGTTTTGATGTTTAAAAACAACACTAAACAAATAAAAGTATCCCTGTAGGACAGCTTTTTTTCCTTTTTAAATACATCTTTAGACCATCACTCCTCCAACGCTGCTACTTACAACCATTTACTCTAGACTCCAGAAAGGTAAGATCCAACATCTACACTCATGTACAAAATCTAGATCTAATAGGGAGAGATAACATAGGTTATATTTTTACAGTTCCTGCTTACTTTAAGTAAATCAGTGAAGGAAGACAAGCCTTTCAGCTTAGACTGTTTGTTGTTGAAGTCTGTTCTGTTTTTGTTTTATTCTAAACTTTTATGTTGAAACACTATACTTCACTAATGTCAAGAAATTTAAGTATAAATTTCTTCTGCATGTTATCATATGAATTTGAGCCCCCAACATTATCTGTTCTCAAGAACAGAAAAATCAGGTTTGAAATTCTAAGTGCACAAGTTAGAAATGCAAACCGACATCCCAGAGATAACAAAATAAGACGTGGAGACCTAATGACAACTTTGTAGCAAACTTAACCCTCCCACACCTACTTCCAACTATAATACATCTAATTTCAAAGAGGGAATAATTTGACTTTTGTATTTGTTAATGCAACTGAGCATATGAACATATATTTATTAAAATTCATCCTTTTTCCCCCTTTCATTACATTTCTGATTGGAAAAAAGCCAAATTAGCAGTTACACACTTAGAAAGTCATGAGGATATCATTTCGTCATCACACATTTGGAATGATACTTTCCCAATAAAAGGACTAAAATTTATTGTAGAGAAAATTCTAGAACAAGTAATTCACATCCCTTTGCCAAACAGCTGGGAATATCTGAACGTAGGTTGAACTACCCTGCCTGCAGGTTATGCCTTTCCAAAATTTCTCTTTCTATACTACACAAGTGTTTTTGATGTAAACCCTCTATAGTTCCTCAAAGTTTTAAACAGAACTGAAGACTCAAAGTTTTACACTACAACTACACAATTGTTGTACAATACAATTAGCTTTAAGAAACATAAAATGCAAATATTTTCTTTCAAACAGGAACATTTACACATACAAGCCAAAACATTTACAACATCACCCTGCATGTATGTACCACTGCTTCTAACCCAAACTTAGAAGATGGAAATTGAAGAAAAAAAAAAAGAGCAAAATTTCCAAGTTTCATTGCATAAACACATCCCATTTCATTTTTGCCTAGCAAAAACACTAAACCCAGTGCCTCAGATAAATTCTTCCCAAGTAAGAAGATTCCTGGAAAGATATGGTATAGAGGTAATACAGAGATAAAGTGTCCATGTGGAAAACCACAGAGTTCTTAGGATAAAAATTGCAAACTTCAGTCTAGACTGGAAAGAAAACAAAAAAAAACACCCCACCCCAAAACCCCACACACAATGGAAACAGTGTCCCACATTATTCTCAGGAAAGGAAAAAAAAAGATACATCACTTGAAGTCTACATGGTTTTGAACATTACTCACGTTAAGCATGGTTAAATGTGTGCATGGAACCTGAGTGACGCTTGGACATGTCATTTCTCTCCCTACCAAATGGGAAATTGTGATCTAACTATTTTCAGCCACTTGTAATGACCAACCCTACAAATTCTCAGTGAGAGCTGAAATTAATAGTTTATGGCTTCATGCATTCACATAAGCAATGAAATCTGTCTTCTCACACTGAACATACTTTGCCAAACCAAACAGCTGAAATTTTGCTCTTCTGTATTGAGCATCTATCTCTCATTTGTGTTCAAAACCTGAGAAAAGCCATACTTCTCACATGCATTCATGGATTAATACCACCACTCTCCTCACGGTTGAGGCATTCATAGTTTATTCTCATGTGCCCTAACACTATTTTAAAAACCATACGTGTAAGATACCCAAGTAGAAAGAAGGAGTCCATTTGGTCCATATCTTCAGTATACAGTTATTAATCACCATGGATTA